ATCATCCGCACGGAGCGGGAAATCCGATATTCCTCTGCCAGCGGAAACCTTGGCCGCTTTGTGTCGGCAGATCGAGCGGGGAAAGCAAGGCCACCCCTCCCTCGTGAAGCCATCTCTATATTAGGCGGAGATAAGATGCGACATTTGACAGGAGCGAGCATCTTTTACTCCTAAGAAAACCAACCCCTAAAGCTAATATCATGTCCTCGTCTTCGCCCACGAACTCCTACGATGCGGTCATCATCGGCGCCGGCCACAACGGACTCACTGCCGCTGCCTACCTAGCTAAGGCAGGGCGATCTGTCCTTGTTCTGGAGCGACTGGAATCTACGGGAGGCGCTGCCGTCAGTGCCTTCGCGTTTGACGGGATCGATGCTCGGCTCTCGCGCTACTCGTATCTTGTCAGTTTGATGCCGAGTAAAGTTATCGACGACCTTGGGTTAGATATCGAGTTGGCGCAACGTCGCTACTCATCGTATACGCCAGTTCCCGGGCACCCTGACGGTGCGGGGCTGCTCATTGACCGCGTCGACAAGGAAGCAACTCGCGCGTCCTTTAAGCGCATCGGTGCCGAGACAGATGCTGACGCACTGGAGAGCTTCTATCGTGATACAACGCGTTTGGCCCGGGCTTTGTGGCCTACCGTCACAGAGCCTCTCCTTAAGCGAAGCGAAGTTAAAGCGCGACTGAATGACGACAATTTGTGGAATGCCATTTTCGAGCGCCCGATTGGAGATTTTATCCAGGATAGGTTATCTGACGATGTCGTACGCGGGGTTGCCGTCACTGATGCTTTCATCGGAACGTTTGCAAGCGCTGATGACCCTGCCTTGCATCAGAATCGGTGTTTCCTGTATCATGTCATTGGTGGTGGCACCGGGGACTGGAACATTCCAATCGGTGGTATGGGCAACGTGACCAAGAAACTTGACGAAGCGGCACGCGCTGCCGGTGCTCGTATCATTACTGGGGCTGAGGTGACATCCATCGAGTTTGATGGCACCGTCCATTACAAAGTGGATGATCAGCAACACATCGCTCTCGGCGGTTATATAATTTCCAATGTCGCACCTTTCGTGTTGGACCAGCTTCTCGGAAAGCCGGAGGCTCAGCTTGCACGGCCCGAGGGAAGCCAAGTGAAGGTCAATCTGCTTCTATCACGACTGCCGAAGCTACGCGACAGCTCCACCTCGCCGGAGGCCGCATTCGGCGGAACGTTCCACATCAACGAGCGATACAGCCAATTCTCCGAAGCTTACAAGCAAGCACTAGGTGGCAAGATCCCCGAGATCCTGCCCTGCGAGATCTACTGCCATTCTCTTACCGACCCATCTATCCTTGGATCTGACTTGGTGGCGTCCGGAGCGCAAACTCTCACCGTCTTCGGCCTGCATGTCCCCGACAGACTCATTACAACTGAAAACAATGACAAGCAACGCGTACGACTTCAGAAAGCGGTGATAAACTCGATAAACTCTGTGCTCGCCGAGCCGATCGAAGAGGTGCTCATGACGGATGCCCATGGCAATCCCTGTATCGAAACCAAGACCACACTCGACATCGAGCGGGCCCTCAACATGCCTGGGGGCAACATCTTCCACGGACCGTTGTCATGGCCATTTGTCGAGGATGAAACCCCATTGGAGACACCTGCACAACGTTGGGGCGTAGCAACCGAGCATGGGGAGCGCATTCTATTGTGCGGCTCTGGTGCTGTGCGAGGCGGCGGGGTGAGCTGCATCGGTGGGCACAACGCAGCGATGGCTGTGTTGGAAGCCAGTGTGTCTCGTTGATCCAATCTTAGAGGTTTTGTTTGTTTTACGGTTTGCCTTCCATCCCTGTGCGTCTTTACTTTATAATGCATCTCGTATGTGAAATTAATTCCCGGAAAATTCATCTTAAACTTGTTTCTTAACCGCAATTGATACAAATTAGTAGTACTGTCGAGGAAAACGTTTACCTTCGTCGTGATTCCATTTCCTGTCCCCAAGGACCTTGCCGAGTTCCCAATGAAAAGTCACGTGATACTAATAGCTAAAATCACGGGACTCGAAGGTCATTTGGAAGAGACGAACTTCTGGGGGGTGAAGATCTTGAATATTTCACCGCCTTGTGCCAGTCTACCCCTTCGCATATATCTCTCCCTCTGAAAGCATATCGACTCCGATCTCATCACTCTGTAGTTGCCTCTTTTGTCTGCAACTAACATGGTAAGAAATTTGCTTATTAAAACTTCCTTCCCGGCCTCCTCCGCATTGCACATTCGCTCCTTCAGACATGGCCAGAGATGCCTCCCGCCTGACACCGTCACCCCCACCCCCCCAGTGCCATCGCCTACGAATGCAACTTGCACCCAGTACAAGGTGCTGCCGGCTCTTCGCTCTGATAGATCTCTGGTCTCGGTTCGCCGGACACGTTCAAGAAACCGACCGCTCCTTTGTCTAACCGAAACATAGCGTGATCCACCAGGGTGTATGTGCCAGGGACAACCAATTTCATGTCGAGGATAGTTGCAGCACCCGGTGGGACGGTCACGGTCTGTAGAAAGCGACCAGGAGGGCTGAGGACGTCGCCGTCACGATATACATTCTTAAAGTGTGTACCAATAACGTGGAAGGAGCTCGTCAAGTTCGGCCCAGCATTCCCAAAGAACAACCTCACAGACTCGCCCGTGCGGGCCTTGAGTGGTCGCTCCCTCGTTAGGGCAGCTTCACTACCATTGAAGACGACAACGTTTGGCTCTTCGCGCATCCCATTCGGATATGAAAATTCCACCAGTGTCGACCGTCTTCCGTCTTCCAGCACCTCTGGTGGTTCGTGATAAAACTCGCTCTGCATAACATAGTACTCCCGGTCCACTGGAGGAAGATCCCCTTCCGCTGGCTGTACGTATATGAGACCATACATGCCGTTTGCTATGTGCACAGGCACTGGTGCAGCAGCGCAGTGATACACGTACAGTCCAGGGCAGAGCAGCTTGAACCTTGCTTTCTTCGTCTCGTTCTCCTTTGCTGTAGTCAGTGCAGCCCCTCCTCCAGGCCCCGTGAATGCGTGGCAGTCGATATTATGTGGGTTTCCCGTTCGATCTTCATTTGTGAGTGTTAGATCCACCACGTCGCCGACTCGGGCTCGGATGAAAGGTCCAGGAACAGTATCGTTGAATGTCCACTGCTCATACTTGTACTGGTTCGTGAGTTGTGCTACCTTGGTAGTGGTTCGAAGCGGGACCCTTAGGAGGACGGGGTGGTCCCTGGTAATCCGTGGTGGGACACTCGGGGCGCTTGTCAGTATTGCGTCCTCTTTCGGGAGTGTTGACAGCTCCAGTGACTCTTCACCGATGGCCTCGTAGATGTCTTTTGGCGATTGACTATCCCCGGCGGATCCCATGGGCAGAAGGGACACTGAGCATTTGGAACATGGCTTCTCTGTATTCTTTGTCGCTGAGTCTGGCGCATTGGCGTCTCCATACACACCTCCATCCATGCGAATCGAGGCTTTGTTTACGCCATACAGGAGCGCGCCGATGGCTGCAGATGCCGAGAAGAATAGGAGTAAGGGGTTAGTCAATCTAGAGTTGGAAGCGTACGTCCATATTCCACCTGTTGGAGTCAACCTGGGGCCGCGATACTGGAAATGCATCTGCCGTGGTGGCGTAGTATGGAAGCTCTTCGAGACAAAACGTTGACCACTACCTAAAGCGGCCCGGGAATTGACAACTGCTGCAAGTCTCCGGCATGAGACCCGCGAGACGCGAGAACATCTCACAGCCGCACTAGTTGTCAAGGAAGAAGGGATGCTCAATAAAAATACCATTGTTCTTATGCCGTGTAAGGGATGAAAACTTAGAACAGTTGATAGAGGAAAGACAGGGTTTCACGGGAAAAAAATGGCCATGACGCCCTGTCAAGGACGTTCTTATATGCTAACTAACCGCAGGGTGGAGGCTGCTTGCTTTCGTCTATGTCCGGCCCGTTGGGCATTATTCATCATTCGTGCTGAAGTCGGGCCACTAGGACGTACCATGAGGGGTACCCCGGGCCGTACCCCGGGCCAAGGAGACCCCCCACAATTTCTCGACAGTCCATGATGTCGCCCGCAGCGCTGCCTCGGATCAATATCCGGCCATTTGTGGGCTGTACATGGGCTGACACGAAGGCCATACCTGCCCAGGCAGAGCTTTTTTCTCTTTTTTTTTTTTTTTTTTTTTTTTTTTTTTTTTCTCGATCGATATATCCTTAAGCAGAGAAAGCATACACGTGAACGAGGTTCTATCACTTCGATGGAGGGTTGATGTATCAAGCCCAACGGCTCGGCATGGAGGCCGAGCTGCCCAGTTGGCAGAATGACGCACTGAATGTCACTTTATTACGTCTCTGTTCACTTCGTATTGGCCGTTGAAATGATCAAGTGAGTAGATGTATTACCGTGTATCGCTGCATCGCCCCTTCCGAAGTGACTGGTCGCATCGGCGTTACTAACGGCAAATCCAACTAGTCTCATACACTCCGCAAGGTCGTAGTGATAGGAATGGAACTTCTCCGAAGTCTAATACATTACATGGTTGGATGGCAGCAGTTTCCTGTCATGAGATATCTCCCGATCAGATATCTGTCACCTCTGTCACCTCTGTCACCGCTCTCTCTTATGGCATGTTTAGAATGGCGAATTCTATCCTTTCTATCGGTCGGGTTATGGTACTACGCATCTAGATGGTATGATGGTGAGATGTTGGAAGGACCGCGGGATACGCCCTAGACTAGAAGTGATTCCGTTATTACTGAAAAAATCATGTTGTCCTTCGGGTCGAGGTGGTCAGGTAGCTGCTATTAGTGATCCCCGTGCATCTGACCGTGAGAAAGGGGATGAAATAAAATTTACTTAAGGTCTTGAGCGGACCGGACTTGCAGGACTTCATCCAAGCGAGAAGTTTTTCATCTGATCGAAACTGCTTGATCTCATGTGTTGAAATTCTGTCACCAGAAAAATCACTCATCGGAAAAATGGTTAATCCTACCTTGGTAAACGTCGTTAACATCGTGCCGTACACGCCGGCTGAGGCTATCGAGCTTGTCTCGAGGGCTGGCGTGAAAAAGGGGAACATGCGGGCCGACCTTGTGTTCCTTTCTGCCATCTCCGCGGGTTGTCTCCTAAGCTTCGGAGGCGCTGCATCTTTCGTTGCCAGTACGGCACCGTGGTTCCAGGAAAATGCGCCCGGGTTGATGAGGGTGACGGGTGCTCTGGTTTTCCCCGTCGGATTCGTCATGGTCGTGTTGACCAGTGCGGATCTGTTTACGGCGTCGAACATGGTAAGTTTAAAGTTTAGGCCGTAGCACCAAGACCGTTGCTTACCGTCCATCACTAGTTCACAACAGTTGCGGTCCTGCATCATCGACTGCCGGCGTGGAAGATGCTCCTCCACTGGTGTCTATGCTTTTGGGGAAATCTGGTAGGATCCCTATTCATGGCGGTCGTCATTTTTGGATGTAAGAGCCTTCAATCTCTCGTCCCTGAAGCCACGCTGGACATGAGAAATATGATAATGTTCTAAATGAGGGAAATATAGACGGCGGAGTCTTTGATGCTGCTCCGTTTCGAGAGAATGTCATCGCTTTCGCGACCAAGAAACAGATCACGCCTGATATGCATCAGATATTTCTGCGTGGCATTGGTTGCAACTGGCTTGTCTGTCTTTCCTGCTACTTGGGCCTACAGGCCAAAGACTTCCAATCGAAAATTATCGGTATGTGGTGTCCCATCTTTACGTTTGTCTCCCTTGGGCTCGACCATGTCATCGCAAATATGTTCTTTATCCCTCTCGGGATCTGGCTGCACACTCCCGGCCTATCGGTTGGCTTGTATATCTGGAAAGGTTTGTGTTTTCCTTACCATGGGTACTGTACACGAGCGAATTATTGACTCATTTCCAGGCATCATTCCTGCGGCACTCGGCAATATCATCGGCGGCTCATTGTTCTGTGGTGGATACTACTGGTATCTACACCTCTTCAGGGAAGCCCCAGTGCTTGTTGACGGCAAGGACTATGGGGACTCTATGCATAAGTTGAGTCTGGAAGAGAAGGGATCAAGTCATGGCCGGAGCGAAGTGTAGCAGGACAATTCAGAAAATGCGTTTTTCCGCGGTGGAGAGCGGAGGTTTTGGTGATCATAAATACTGTTCAAATTGATATAGTTTTCAAAAGGAAACGATATTTTACGCGACTGAAAGAATTATTTTCAGTCTACTCGCCTTGGGGACCGCGCCGAATAGCCGAATAGTCACTCACGCTGCAGGGCTGTCTGACAACTAACCTCGGGGCCGTGAGCAATCTCTCGTGCGCGCGCGCCATGGTTCGATCATCATCGCAGATTGTGGAGCTATCATCAGTGTCGGCCGACTGTCGGCAGTAGCGTAGACCCCAGGTGCAGCATGCCTCTGAGGACGTTCAGGCACCATTAATTGCGCGAAGAGAGAACATTTAAAAGCCGGGTAGCAAATGCGATACATTGACCATGCAACAAAAGGGCCTCGGGACAATTTTCGTATTGTCTAGTCTGAGCGTCGACTGGATCGGGGGCAAACAAATGCAGACGGCCTGATTAATTACCCGCAGAAATGGTCTCAAGGCGTGGGGAAAGGTTCTATTTAAATCCCGAGCACCTCTTTGGATAATGACTTGCACGTACGCAATGGATGCGACGTCGGGGACATTCGTGCATATCCGTCTGCGCTCTCCCGCCCATCGTTCCCGCTTATCGTCAGGTCTTTGCAGAACGCTTCTTGTTGTGATGTGTGTGCGTGCGTGGGGATACGCCAAGCAGATCAACGGCAGTTGGAGATATGTGCATGTTGTCATTAGAATACGGCAGATGTTATGGCAGAAGAAGATCGCCGGCATGTTATGGCCCGTCGCTGTGGAATCAAATCCCACGGAAAGCAATCCGACGGCGCCTACTGGCCAGATTCGGAGGGTGGACTTCTCCCTCCCGGATAGATCGGGAGCAACAGATTTGAGTTGGTTAATTGTTGGCAAGCGCGTCAATGTATGGGACTTTTTCTTGGCGGTCCCGGCCCAGCTTGGGATGGATGTGCTTTCTGAAGAGGTTAACTCATTTTTCAACACCTAGTCGTCGGACATTTTTGATAATCACCGAAGGGTGATACCCGATTTTGTCAAATTTATTATATGGTGAGACTCTCGGCCAGCAATGGTGTGAGCGCCTTGAGTCCGTCGTGATATTTATTTTTTTCTCTGTACCTTTTAAGAATTGCTTGGTTACTATCCCGAGATGGTTACTTCTCATACAAGAGAATAGTGTACTACACCTTCTAAAAATGGTAGATGCTCTTATCTCAAGAGACTGGTTCAGATGAAAGCGCCGAACGCTAGTATTCCCATACTCTGTATTCGATGTTTAGAGGAAACGAAGGTTTCAATGTACTTTTAGGCATTCCAAGTAATGCTAAACAACGAGGCCAAAACCTGGTCGGCGTTGCCTTCGAAGGAGACTCTTCAGGTTCGCTTCAATATTCGTTCATCCTCACTAGAGGCAAAGATCATGTCCATTATCGAATACTACGGTAAGCGTTGCCTTTATCATTTTCCTGTATGGATTACATCAACACTGAGACAGGAGACGTCTGGTATATGTATTCATACAATCATGGAACCTCATGATAGGCCAACGGAGTTTCTTAGTCTGGCCACAGAAGTAGGCATAAGACTGCCATCCCAGGCAGTTAAAGTCGTCCCCAGAGTTTTGGTTTTAGTTATCGAGCAGCCTCAACCAATAGCAGTTTCTCTCGCGGCGGAGAGATCGAGCGGGTGACTACTAAAATCAAGTGACTCCACTCAGGAGTGGTGTATGAAGTACTCCGTAGTGGCATTCTGAATGTCTAACCCCTCTGGATGCACTTGAAATAAACCGGTATCGGCCTTGACTTACTTAGTATCAGAGTTCCGGCTTCACCGATTCGAGGGTCGGGATGGAGCTGGCATACAGGGACTAGGGATTCAGACACTCTCCTTACTAGGCCGCCACAATCGGACGTTTCCCAATCTCATCATTCGATAAATGGAGTCTGGCAAAGGATGCTAGGGTGCCTAACGCGTGAGTAACTTGATCGTGCTATTAGTGGAGTGTCGAGCGAAATATCGCCAGAACGTGCTAACTGATTGGCGAGGATTACAATGACGCAAGGGCTTCGCGTTTAGCATCTCCGCGGAACTACCCCCATCGATGACGCAAGTCGTTGCTTGGGAAAAGCTAGCGAAAGGTATTTTCAGGTTGAATTAAGAGGTGAGTACGGTTAACTCCCAGGAAGATACCGACGTGGGATGAGTGTACCAGGCTATGGGTGAGCGGGCAAAGCTGTCCGGGTTCATGAAACTCGCGGGTCTCAAGTCGTCAAATTAATAAAGCCAGCCGGGGGCGAGTGGAATGACGGCATGGCATCGTCACATCTTCCGAGCATTTTATTCAGAGGACTGGAACGCTCTTTCAATTGCCAAATGGCTGTGGCCTCTCATCCTGGATACTGTCACTGCATTCTTTCATAGACGTGGTACTGTAAGTCTTGAGATGAGAGGAAATAATGAATGTAGCCTCTTAGCGATGAGTCGGGTGTGGTATTCGCAGTGCCATGAACTAGTCATCACTTGACATCTGAACAGCTAGATATAACACGTCCCTACCCAAGCCCCGTGTAATCTAGCAGGTCGCTTCTGGGGGTCCATGTAGCAAGGTGATGAATGGATCACGGAGCTTAGTGGCCTTGTTTCCGAGAACCTGAGAACAACGTGATACTGTTCATAGAGGTGACCATTATAATATCGTAACGCATTTTGATAGCTAATAACTCTTTCTCTAGCACCGCCTGAATCACTTAAACTTATAAAGATGCTTCACTCCTGACGATATATAACGCATTTCCGCGTAGTAGAACCACTTTAGAGATGTGACCCGGAGTGGTTATTCTGGTACAGTCTGCTACGATAGTCACAGGGTCTCTCAGTAGGCATGAGAAATGAAGGTTGAACTTGCTTATTATCCGACTAATTGATGAGAGGTCGTGGAGAGTGGAGTATTTAGGATATCTCCTGCACGCCGCAATCCAAGTCTAATAAACGGGCTCCACCATTTATGAACCCGATGAAGTCCAGCCCCAGGCTTGCTGGTTCCAAATAGTGACTGAAAGAACAAGGGGCATCTCATAAGGCCACCTTCCCGTTCGCCCAAGCTCGCCTCTGGGATCCTACATATAATTTCAATGGCGGAGTTATTCCCAAGATCTTTCCGACGTCTATGGAATAAGAGCTTCTCCCTACGAGCCAAATTGAGGTAAGTCAATGATGCACACTATATGTGATATTTGAGTAGACCGATGCAAATTTCGAGCCTACAAGAGCACGAGATATGTGGAGTTCTATCGAAATTGGCTGGTACTTCGAAGTTAAATTTTTTTTTTCGGGACCAACCTAAGATGTTGAATCTCTTTCATAAACGATTCTGAACGGCTCACATCGCTGGAGGACACATGATCAGTCGATGTGACATAGCGCTTCGTTTCTTCCTGTTATATTGACCTCGCCCGATGTTGCTAAATTGGCCCCTGTGCCTGTGTGCGAGAACACATGTTATCACGCGGCCCGATACATCATTGAGACAACATTCGCCAAGGGAATAAACCTCCTTGGTTGACGACAGTTATACTTGACTATGCCGGAACCAGATAGTATAAGCGACGGCACTCGTTTCCGTTTCCATCCACATACGCAACATCGCCTTTATCTTTATAAACTTGGAACTCTCGGAACCCGTTGTCCGCCTCACTAGATCACAGTTGTTAATATCCGTGGGTCGGTTGAAGTTTCTTCTATAAGCTTGCCCTCGGATGAGCATTTCTTGACGTACCCGACGTTGCTGCCTTCCTGCCACTCGGCAGCATCACTGTGCAATCTCCACGACAATGTTCCATGCGACCCAGGGAAGGAGCACTCTAGAGGACCCGAAGCCCAATCATACTCGCCTGCAGGGATCGGCAGACATGTATCCCCGGGACCTGGGTTCGCGTTGCAACTATCCGAATTCGGGCAATACTGGAGAAAAGCGGTCAGCTACGAGAACGATGATAATTTGATGGTATGAGAGAACACCAAGCGAGGGATGGATGTATGCCAGCGAGGGCTGTTGCTAGTAGGATCAAGGGGACCGCTTACATTTGCTGCTGAATAATTCCCGCAGTCAACAAAGATAAATCCCTCCTCCCTTTTCGCGAGTTGGGCGGGCTGCAGCTCCACTGGATTTGCAATCGGACTTGTGACCGCCCCACGCAGGAGGATCATCGCTGCAAGGAGCTGTTCAGCTCGGGGAAGCATCGTGTCAATAGTGGTTTTCAAGTATCAAGAAGTTAACTCGATAGTGCGGGATAACATGACAGTTCGGGGGGACACGCGGTGGTTATCGAAGCCTCCTGCGGAGCAGTGCCAACTTTATATTGCAAGATGTCGAACGGAAAGGAGTACCTACTGTACCCCTCTTCGCCGAAGGTCAACTAGATCTGCCATAGTACTAATCACAAGATTCGAGGCACCAGTTCGTGCCGGACGATATCGCCTAGTCGAAGGATTCATTAGGCAAATGTGAGAGCGTGTTCTCGAAACTCACGCATGCTGTTTAACGGCCTCTCAAGAATGAGTGGGTAAATACTTACGCGCGTATGTGGTTCTTGGTAGGACTCTATGCAGTATTAGTTCGTAGAGTGTTTCGATTGAGGGCGGGGATCCCTTGCTGTAGCTCAATAGATGTGAGAATGACTCAACCGAGAACTGCATTTACTGTATGGTAAATTGATCATCGACTTACAACTCTCACCCAGAACAATTTGCCTTACTTAGCCTGTTGTTCGTGAGTTACTCTAGACGGAATACTCCTAAGGATGCAAGTAATATAGGCATGCCGCTACAACCCGCACTCCATCAAAGGATCGCAGGCCGTCCCTGACCTCAATCAGGTGAACACGCGTTGCAGTTACACCCGAAGGTTTCCCCGCTCGGGGATCTGACGTGCATATATGAGATGACGATGTGATTATTCTATTTTTTTAACAAAGAAATTTTCGGCCGTAAACTACTAACGATGCTGACCACGGCATCGCACACTGGAGGCTCGATGCCGGTGTTCCGGAATAGTTGAATGACATGGGCGGCAACTCACCTCCGGTTAGCACAGGGCCGTGACTGGTACACTTGTTTCGCGAAGTTATTCACCCAGCCGAGGCCGGTATTCTCATTCATGGGATTGTCACTCATGTCCAACACGCGGATACTGACGCTCTCGACAGGATCTTCTTTACCTTCACCGACATTCCCATTCTTGGGCGGCATTATGGAGATGGAAGCTCGATCGCGAGTCGAGGCACCGCGATGGGGACACCCAGCGTGCTCTCTGCCCGGCTAAGGTAACTTTCCGAGGCCATGTAGTTATCGAAACCCGCGGTATCCAAAGTCTCCTTCCTCCCATCCAGGGACTCGCCTGATTCTCCGGATATGAAATGGAATGGAATACAACGAAGTACAGCGAGTTTCAGCAGTGTCCTGACCGATTCTAAGTTAGCATTGCAGGGTGAGGCGTAAGCATCTACCAAAGGGAAGCCAACAGCGACGTGTATGATCATGTCCATGGTGATGAGAAAGAAAGATCGGAGAGGCCAAGATGTGTCTCTAAAAGATCTCCCGAATCGAGCCTGATCTCAATGAGCTCCTCTTCGGCCACCTTGCTGTCTGTCTTCTTCTCATCGTCGGTGACAGGATTAGTATTGCTGAAAATGTGGATCGCTCCCACCTTGTTAGAGGCGGCCAGGGAATCTACTAGTTTCCGTTTCAGAAAGCCCGTCGCTCCTGTGAGAAGGACGTTGACGGGAGGACGCACAGTATTGCTTGATGGTACGGATGCAACAGATTGTTGGTGTGAGTTAGAAGGTCTTCGAAGTATTCTTTCTGCAAATGGGTCTTCTCTTCCCAATCAACCACGTCGGAAGCCGCCACTGCAGAAGTCTCGATCTTGGCTGCCAGGTCAATCAACGAAACAATACCGCCAAGCGAATGCTAATGAGCGTTTGAAGTTTGATAGGTAAAAGGGAATTGCCACCCAGCTCGAAGAAGCTGGTGTCGCTTTCCACCTGGATGGTGCCGGTTACGTTGTTGAATTCAGAGTCAATAATATCCTTCCGGACCTGCAACAATCCACCTTCAGTCTCACTGAGCACTTTTTCAGCTCGGCCACGTCACTAGCCACCCGGGGTAGGGTGAGATTGGAGGCGTTCCGATCCGTCTTGCCGTGAGCGTCCGTCGGCATCTGCTCGAAAGGCACGAAGAGAGCCGGGACCAGGTAAAGAGGCAGAGATAAAATGAAACGCAGCTGCCGTAGGAATGCCTTCTGTGTGGCCCCACCAGGATAGAAATCATTGCGGACGAACTGAGCGTGAGCAACCAGAAGATGGCTCTCCCAGAGACACCACAGCCTTACGAAGCGCGTCCTCAGCCGCTGCGATGGTGGCATTTCAGTCTCCTGGAGATCGACCCGCATACCACGCATCTTGATCATGATGTCTCCGGCCACGCGGCCTATGAAAACGAGGCTCCCGTCACTCTGTAGCCGGCCCACGTCACCTGTTCGGTAGACGACGCGACTGTGGTTTGCTGAGTTGGCGATCCTTGTATTTCCAGCGGCTGATGGAGGGGAGTCGTGCGTTCCTGATGAATTATTTTTTCGCTTAGCTTGTCGTCGTTCAGGTACCCGGCAGCAACACTTGGGCCATCGATGACAATTTGGCCCGCTGCACCCTGAGGCAAGAGGTCAAGATTATGGTCCACGATGAAGACGGAGTCGCCCGGCAAAAGAAAGCCTGCAGGTATCACCGCTGCCTCGCTACTGTGACTATCGTTTCTGCTGTCGTCGGCATCATTGGGATTCCCATCATCGCTACTGGCAGAGTTGTTTTCTGCCAGTCGAACTTCGGCTTTGGTGCAGGTGATAGTCTCTGCTGGCCCGTATGAGTTGTAAAGCTTAAGTTCGGGAAGCTCGAGTTCGCGGAGAGTCTGCGCCAGAGAAGGTGGTAGGACTTCCCTGCCCGCCCAAGCAAACTTCCAGTTCAAGGCCTTCACCAGACTACCACTGCCGTGGGCTAGCCAGCTGGCATATTCGGAGGGCGTTGCACGCGTAGACATGATGCCCTCTGTATCTATGATCCGCGATGGCTGATGGATCGCTTCGGTTCTGTTTCGACACCACTAAACGGTGCCAGCATTGGAAAGAGTCATGGTGATTTAGTCTAGTGAGAAGTTGAAGGTCAAGTCGCCCTGCTGTAGGACTTTTGCAGACGCTACGTGGTATTGTTTGGTCAAGCCCTCGAAAGTACTTTTGTTGCAAGATGACGCCCTTCAGTACGCCTGTTGTCCCACTGGTGAAGAGAACCGCCGCAGCAACTGTGCCCTTCGCTTTCGTAGCTGTAAAGTCCACTCTATTATTTCTTAGACCAGACACATTAATAACCTTGGCTGGGTAATTTAACTCGGGGGTTTTAGATTCGGTGGCGCCACGGCGAAGGATGGAAGAGGGTCGAGCAGCACTAGGAATCACTGCCAATCGGGACAGAGACTCGGTGACACGGAAATCCGGCGGTGTGTAAGTTGCTCCAAAGTGCCAGATTGCTAGAAGAGAACAAATCCAGTCCACCGTCGGTTCCTGGAAGACAGCGATCCGGGAGCCTTCTCGTAATATTCCAGTATTGATCAAGGCATTACTAATGTGCTACACGCGATGTTGCATTTTCTCATATGTGGGGGAATGGCCGCTATCGTCCTTGATGGCGTCAAGATTGGGGTTCCGAGAAGCGATTTCGGTTACGCGATGAGAGGCACTCTCCGGCCATTCCAAAACGTAGCTAGGCCCTAAAGGTAGGCATATAAAATATCCCATGCCAGTCAAATTTACCAGTCTGGTCTTATAGCCTGGATGTGGACTCACCGCGGCCTAACTTCTTTGCTCTTTCAACGAAAGATTTCGTTGGAGAATAAGGCTTCAAAAAATTGACATAGCAATGGGTCACGTCCGCGTCCCCTGGAGAACCCGAGAGTTGTCTGTTATCTTGGTTCTCGCACATCCCCAGAGTGAAGAGTGCCACGTACATGGTGCCGCGAAACAAGGCGGATGTGGCACTGCATGTCGCCCGCGCATCGTCGATAGAAGTAGGTCGGTTGGCGACTACTGAGTTATTAACTGTTGTGTCACCCATCGTGATATTTTTACTCTGTTCTTGGACCTTGCGGATAAGATTGAGCTATCGGATTTTCAATCGAGGTACGGCACGGATGGCGCGGTTCTTGACTTGGGAAAGTTGCAGAGGTGAGAGACACGACTGATTCGAGAGCGGTGCGGCGTACAGCATATGCCCATGTCTGACCGATATCTTTCCAGTTTGGTCCTTGGCCCGGCTTCTCCGCGAAGACGGCGCATGCGGTTATGAAGGAGAAGACGAACCGGCATTTCCCCGAGCCCGCATTACAAAAAAAGACTAGCCAAGCCTCGCTCGCGGACATCCCGGCGACCGGGATGGAGATGATTTCGGTAGTAGAGCTGGGCACAACGCCACTGGTTTTTAAGATCATAATGGGTGAGCATAGAATTCTGTAATCTACGTCGCTTCAGCTCGTCATCTTTACAATATTTCTTGAATAATTCCCATTGCTTCAAAGCGCGAACATCATCGTGTGCCGGCAAAACCGAAAGAAGGAAAGGAAAAAACCAAAAAGGGAAAAAAAGAAGACAAGAATGGGCAACCTGACAGAAACCACGCCGGGCGTCGTGCAGGCCGCTGTCCAGTATCTCAAGTCCAACACGCTGCTAGCCGTAACCTCTTCGGTGACCTTTTCGGCACTGCTCCTGATAGTCATCAGCTACCTGCATACTTCGAAACGGCCAGACGCAAAGCTTCTCCCAGGACCCAAGGGTGAGTTGTTCGCAGCAAATATCTTAGACCACACCCTATCGGGGCGGGGCCTTCCGTGTTTCTTATGGAGCCTCTTCAAATATTGCATTAAACTACTCCTGCTTGTCGTTCCCTTTCACTTACTCGGCTCTATACACAGGATACCCACTACTCGGCAATCTGCCCGACATACCCGACAAACATTCCTGGGTACAGTTCAAGCGGTGGGCAGACGAGTATGGTCCCATCTATCGATTGAGACTTGGAAATCGAAATCACGTCGTACTGTCGACGGAGAAAGTCGCCAATGAGCTACTACGAGAGCGTGGAAATTATTATTCTTCGAGGGAGCAGACGCCAATGGCCGCGGAGCTGCTGTCAGACAATCTCCGCCCTCTACTTCTGCCCTATAATGGTATTAAGCCCCGCTAATTCCTTAAATTTCTCTCGGGAGTGTCGTGCTTCCAATCATGGTCTAATACTGCGCTTTTTTCACAGATCGTTGGCGGCGCACGCGAAAGTTCATGCACCAGCTTACCATGCCTGCTGCGGCAACTTCCTATGAGCCCGCCCAGCTGCTCGAATCGACCCGCGTAGTCTACAACCTGCTTAAAGACCCGACGACCTACGAACATGTGTTTGAGCAGTACTCAGGCGGGCTCATCTTCCGCATCGGCTACGGCAAGAGAATCGTCACGGGCGAGGAAGACGCCCTTCGTCGTATCATACAGGTCAACCGTAACCTCGAACGCATCGCGTCCCCCGGATCCTACCTCGTCGACACAGTCCCTATGCTTAAATACTTGCCTGCATGGCTCGCGCCATTCAAGGCGGAAGCCGCGCGGTTGCATTCAGAAGAACTCTCCCTCTTCCGCGAGCTGCTCGACGAAGTCCGCCAGAGGGTACGCAACGGCACAGCGGCATCTTGCTTCGCCAGCCAGCTCGTTGTCCAGCAGGAGAAATTCGGGCTTAGCGATGACGAGGGTGCCTATGTAGTAGGGACCATGTTCGAGGCAGGCAGCGGTACTACTGCTGCCGTGATGATGAGCTTCTGTCTTGCTATGACACTGTATCCCCAGTGGCAGAGTCTCGTCTGGGAAGAGGTCGACCGCATATGCGGCGACAGAATGCCGGATTTCCAGGATATTCCTGAGATGCCGGCGGTGCGGGCTGTGATCAAGGAGGTGCTACGCTGGCGCCCTGTAACTGCAGGCGGCGTGCCGCACCTGCTGACCCGTGATGATGTCTATAGCGGGTTCTTCCTCCCAGAAGGCTCAATTGTGCATGCAAACCAGTGGGCCATCCACCGCGAGAAAGCCCTCTATCCCGACCCAGAGATATTCAATCCTAACCGCTGGTTGTTGCCGGAGTATCCCACTTACCGCGAGCCTCTATCCAAGTTTCCGAACCTACAGAACTATTCCGCCTTCGGGTTCGGTCGCCGCATCTGTCCCGGCATGAACATCGCAGAAAGGTCACTGCATATCTTGACAGCTCGGATATTATGGGCGGGCCGGTTCTCGAAGAAGAAAGGCCCTGATGGAGCGGAGATGGATGTACCAGACTATGACTACGGGTCGGGGTTCAATACACAGCCGAAGCCGTTCCCGTTTAGTTTTGTAGCGAGGAGCCCTGAGAGGATGAAGGCCGTGGAGGAATCATGGGAGAAGGCCCGGGCGGAGGATCCGCTAAGGGGGGATGGAGATTGACGGTAGCGAAGTCAGGGGTTGAAGGGAGGGAGGGCTTGGATGATTGGTTCGTAGGTCTGAATTGCAAACTGGAAGTTAAACGAGAAGCACCATTATACGTGTCGCGAAGTGAAGCCCAGTAGTCGTAGGACTTTCTATTATAGCAGAAATATTATTGCGATTGTGCGCGGTGCAGGGTTACCAACACCTTCCCACTACAAGCCGAGTCACTGATGAGGCGGAAGCAGGGCAAACACACTTCCCGCCGCTTCTACAACTATCGAGCAGACAACGGTAGATAGACGCAACATTGTACCAAATTTGCTAGAGACAAAAGCCTATAGGTAGTTAACGTTCATCCCGATACTCCCCATTACACATGGATATTTTCCCCGTCGAGCCACTGTTTGGCCTGCCAATACAGCCTATCATGCTCTGGCCCGCGATACCCAGGCATGGGAAGGGGCTTGAACCCCGGGATAGTCTGCATCTGACAATACGATAGGAACCGATAACCCTCGGGCAGGGACTGCAAAACGGCATCGTCCAGAGCGGGCACCTTGCGCGGGTCGACGGGGATCAACTTGTCCTTCTCGTAAAAGTGGCGCACGAAACATGCACCCCAGTGGTCGGCGCGCTTCTCGAAGAACATGCAGAAGCGGCAGTCGGCCTCAGCATCGACCTCGCAGCCGTCGATGACGAAGCGTTGGGTTATGGTAGCCTTCATTTTGGCGATGGCGCGGGCGCCCGCGATGTCGACGGTGGTGCCGTGCACGCGGTGCATGATGTGGCTGCCCTCGTCCATTCCGTCCTGCGAGAGCTTGATGAAGTCTTCGAGGGCTGTGCGGCCCGTCCAGGTCGTGTACACGAAGGCGCCCGGGTGGAAGATGGAGCGGAAGTTTTCCCACTCGAAGTGGTCCCTATTCCATGCTTTAGCAAGTTTCCTTGGGGAAACTCGGAGAAAATGGGGATGGTCGTGCGGGACTTGGCACCTGTAACATGGCCATCCTTCGGCCAATTCGCGGATTTTGAACCGCTCTAGAGCTAGGTTGTCGGGGCCATTATTGCGGGCGGCGTGGTCGGGGCGAGAGCCCTGTGGGTTCGAGTGAAAGTCTGGCATGCTGGGCGGCATGGGCGGAAGGAAGAGTGCTTGAAGACTCGAGGGTGCGCAGATCCAGGCATTCAGTCTTCATGGCAGGTGACATCGTTTGATATGCAAGACTGGGCAGGTCGGCTGATATAGTATCGAGCTCATGTGCCCCAGGGAGCGGTTCCAAGCTAGCGTCGGGATTTCCCCGACGGCTAGGATCAGAACAGAAGCAGGGAGGCCCACACAGTAGCGTTATCTCCCCCCCTTCTCCCCCCTCCCCCCCGGCATTTTGAAGGGGCACATCTCTTGACCAGACTCGTTTCCCCGCAGACGATGATCAATTTCAACCGAGGTGCTAGACTAGATAATTTTCGTATCCTTCCACAAGAAGTTAGGGTTATACTATTGATTAGACAAGGCATCCGGTTAACCGTCACAGCTTTGGAAGTGAGGCGGAGTACAGGTGATGGAGGATCGGGCGGGAGTGTAGGCGAGATTTCCATTTGATATTCTAGCTAGTGGGCTATGAACTATTTCCATAGGCTATACTACATAGTACTATGTTTTCAAAATAAACTATTGAACTAACTTCCGAAGCGTCAACTCCAACGCGGAATACATATTATCAGGATTAGGATTGTAGCAAGCACCATCTGCCGTCGAACCGGCGCCTCGGATGCGGATGTACAGTCCTCGATAATACTGTGTACGTGGATTGATATTAAATTCCGGATAATGAAATCGCTGTCTTACCGTGATTCTGTGAATTGATTACCTGCACCTGGATGCCTGCGTAATCTACCTTTGTTCCTCAAACACGGTCTAGCATTTGCAAGATTCAGATGTCAGATACAAAATACAGAACTGGTGTTCAATGTTGGCCAATTAGTGGTTTTACCCGTTCGTTAGACCTATTGATCGGCCATCATTTACCAAAGCACCGTAATCTCCCAAGCGCCGACAAGCCTTTAAAAGAACATATATGCTCCGCGACCCGGCCTCTTCCGTACAAACACGTTCAAGCCAGTCTGTTTTACAAACCAAAAATCGTTAAGTTCCCACGAGGCGGTGGGATCCGCAAGCTCGAACTTTTTCCGTCACCGTTGGTTAGCCGCGTAGGACAAGCTAAAAGCAGGGGTTGGGTGCGGACTCATGTCGTAGAACGGGTAGCGACTCACCTCGAAAGCCCATAGGAGTTGTGGAACAAGCTTCGACATTTCTAGCATAGATATGTGCCTGCCAATACACGTCCGTGCCCCAGCGCCAAACTGTGATAGCAACTGTCGTTAGTACGAGATGCTATCGACACTGACGAAGGACAGAGAGGAGAGAAGAGGGGGGAGATTATCCAATCCTACAGCCAAAAATGATCTATCCATGGCCTTCAGGGTCTCCGTGTCGGCCTCCAGCCACCTCTCGGGTCTGAACTCGTCGGCATCCTGGCCATACACCTCCTTATTCCGATGCAGGACCCACGGGTTGATGCCCACAATGGTCCCCTCCGGCAGATGAGCACCGGAAATGGTAAACCCCCCCTGAGGCACATAGCGTTCCAAAAGCATACCGACAGCTGGGTGGATACGCATTGCTTCCTTCAGCACCGCCTGCAAGTAGGGCAAGGTCCTGGACTCGGCAAAAGTGATAGGCTCCCGCACGCAGTTCCTGTCGCCGACGGCGGTGTCGATCTCAGCCACGAGCTTGCGCAGCATGGCCGGGTTCTTGAGCAGGTAGTAAAAGGCCGACCGGAGAGATATGGCGGTGGTGTCGCTGCCTGCGAACACGTTCGTGACGCTGTACGAGGTGACCTGGCGATCGTCCACGAGGCCAGGGTGCTCTTCCTTCGCCTTGAGGAACGCGCTTAGGAAGTCATGTCGATCGACGGGGGTGGCGAGCCGTTCGTTGACCAGGTCGAGCGTAAACCGGACGACGTGGTTCGAGGGCATTATGCGCCGCGCGATGGGGCTTTTGACCAGGAGTTTGTCGAGGATCGGGATTTGGCCGCACTGGGAGCGTCTTTCGTCAGTATCACCACGAGTGGGTAAGCGATCCCCCCCCCCCCCCCCCCCCCCCGGCCGGGGGGCCCGGGGGCGGGAGTTTCTTGTTTCCCCAACTTACCCAAGCGAAGTAGTTCAGGCGCCATTCGAGATCTTCGATGATGCCGCCCACGTCGCTCCCCGTCTCGAGGAATCCAAGGCGCTTGCTAAACGTCATTTCTCCGCTACAACACAACATATTAACGGAATGAACAAAAAGACTCAGGAAATGACTTTATGTGACAACGGAGGAAAGTGGCTATACATGACATCGAACGCGTAATACTGCAGCCATGTCCCCAAATCGCAGACATTCCTCGGCTCAGCAAACAGTTCATTGAGCCGTCTCACAAAGACCTTAGACGTCGTGTCGACGAAGGGCTCGTACTGGAGCAGGCTCGTCATGCTGTAGGCGTTGGCGACCGGCCGCCGGATGGCGGCGTGGAAGCCCTCGTGGAGGGTGTTGAATAGATTCTGGAGCGGCTTTCCCTGGTTTAGGTTCTGCTGGACTTCGTAAAAGTGTGTCTATTATCATTCTCGCACATTGGCCAGTTTCCCTGTAAGAATTATTCATGTTGCGACTGACGACAAGAGTTCTTTTTTTTGGACTTGAGCTCGAACCTTTTGGAAGCCGGATTTCAGGCCGTAGATGATTCGCACCGCATCCGGATCCGCGACGGAAACGGCATTGGGACCGATCCGAACAAGATTCGAACGATACTTTCGATGTAGCCCGAGGAGCGTGTCGTAGTGATGTCCCCGGGCCACGTTCACAAGCCGCCAGAGATTCGTGAAAGAGGCAATAAAGGGCCCTGGTAGACTTCGCAATCCGGGTTTGTACCGGGTCCAGAAGCTGCTTCCTACTAGGTAAACTAGGAGGAGGACGGTGACGGAGCCCACGATAGGGATGTCGGACACGTGACAGGCGTTTAGGATCATTTTTGTCATTGTTCTTCACTGTTGGGTAGCACTGGAAGGCGACGGCAACGTGCGGCAAGGAGATATAGCATGGTATTATGGTATGTTGTGCGGAGTAGTTGGGTTTTAGCCCTTGGCTAACACCGGGGAGTTAGGGCGTAATCGAACCCTGGAATTTGGGGAGGTCCTGAGAGCGGAGGTCCCGAGAGCGGGGAGATTCCGAGAGGGGTACGGAACGCAACGGCAGTCTTCGAGACGGCAGTCTGCATGTGCACACTGTCAATTCGGCTGTCCTCCCCGCTTTAATACTTTACCCTTTTCATCTCTCTAAACACTCTACGAGTGTCATGGGGCAAACGATTATCGGTAAGATGTCACTTCCACACTACTCATCTTAAGACTCCTCCCACCAGTGCACTTCCCCAGACTGGAGCTAAAAGGAGTCGGTGTTAAAAAGCGTACCGAGATCGGCACTAAATAACTCGTCTCCAGACACCCTCGTAGATAATTTCAGGACATCCTCAGCGGATTGATCCTTGAACGCGTCACCAAATATTTCAGAAGACAAAGAGAGGTCTGCTGGAAGGCCAAAATACCGAGCATCAACTTCGCACTTCTCGGTGATCCCTCGATCCTGAGGGGGAGGCGGTTGCCGGCTCATGGGCGTTCTGTTAGGCGCAGAATTCGACAATCTAATACCCGGGTCTAGCGCGTGGCCCAGTCTCGCGAGCACGGCTTTAACGAGCGGTACGCATTTCCTCGACGGCTCCGAATCTATAGCCTCGAATACCTCGATGCTGCGGTAGCAGACCTGAAGGTAACCGTCGGCTTCGTGCTCCGGGCACTCGCAGATGCGCATGAGCAGGAAGAGCGTCGCCGACAGGCAGTAGTAACAATAATACGCCCAACGCTGCATGCTCGTGTCCTCGGTGAGAACGTGATGAATGAGCATGACGTTGTCCTGAGCTGCGCCCAGGCAGATGGGGACAGACATGTTGGAGGAACGAGGAGACGACACGGTGGAAAATTTGCGGAACAAGGGCCGATGCAAGAAAGTCATGAGGTGGTTGAAGTCTGGCGGGGTTTGTCAGTATTATTAACGCGTTAAGCAAATCAGAGGATAAGAAAGGATGGCCACTTACGAACTTCCACACTTTGGCGTTGGCGTTTCACCCATTTCGTCGCCACCCAGGCGTGTTCGTTGTAGCGCCCCAAGTCCCGGCCGAACTTGAGGTGTAGCGGGAGAGCCTCCCGCCAGGCACTCAGCTCGACATGTAGGTTCATGAGCCGTCCTTCAAACCCTTGTGTGCCGGGATTATCACCGATGGATGAAACCTAGAGAGTGAAGGAGAGGGGCGGAGGGAATTTAGTCTTAGACCTTGATTATTTCCGCATCGGATCACTTTCACTTACTAGGTTGATAACTTTTCGCATGATGGTGCTAAATTTTGCCATGACAGTGATGAAGGTGACCCGACTGACGCCGGTAGAAAAATCCTTGTGTCGTCATTAGCACCCCTTATGGCAAAAGCGGCCAAAGAGCACATGATATCGCATACTGGAGGATCTCTCGGGAATGGAGCTTTCGCATCCGCTTCTTGTATTGATGTCGGTCGCCCCGAGTCCAGGCACTGCTCGGCCTCGACGCCGTAGAGCATCCACCAGCTCCTCAAACCCGCTTGGGCGTGGGCGTGGCTCCCGGAGACTTGTTGGCGACATCTATGAAGACCGATCGAGTAGGCGAATCGGATAGCGAGGCCAATATAGTTATAAGCTACTACGCATAGTTAGAAAGAAGCAGAGATACACATTTGTAGTGGAGCTATCACCTACAATTCGGTTTTATTGCGTGCTGAGCATAGCAGCCCTTAGAAAAACTTTGTCAGCTCCGTCGCGCACCAAACAGGGGAAATGCAGGATAACAAGCCTCACTATGAACAGCGCGGCCTGCACTGTCTCAACGCTAACAGCGTCAAAGAGCCTTCCCAGCAGATCCTGCGCTCTGGAGAAATAGCTCGCCGCCGACTCGGCATTGTCCGAGCCCGAGTCAGAATACAACGCTCCCATGGCTAGGACGGAGTAGATCAGGCATTCGGCCTGTCGGGCAGCCACACATTCTACATCCGCTGGCGGGGCGGTCCAGAATTGCCGATACGCCGCCATGAAAACGTCGACGTCAAGAACGGGCAAGTAATCGTGGATGGTGTTAAAAAAGCTCTGGACGTGGCCATCCGCCACATCTTTCCTTAGTTGCCACCGGTTACCCGGCTGCCAGGCGGCGGGAACGAAGTCGTTATGCTCGAAGAGGCCCTCGAGGTCGACCTCTAGGCCCCTGGTCGTGGTGCGGGACTTCTTGAGCAGGGTTTGGAACCCGCGGTGCTCCCCCTCGAATTCCCTGAGTCTGTTGTCCAAACTCCGCGCGAGGGCCAGGATGGACGTGCTGCCGTAAAACTCCACCGAGCCAGTGGAGGTGTTGAGAGTCGTGACGGCGTCGAATTGAATTTCAGCCTGATGTATCTGCGTTGAGCCGTCGAAACTCAACGACCCAGCCGCATCAGGGATGGTAATGGTGGGTTTTTTTCGTTGACTGTCGCTAATGACCAGATTCTCCTCGCCAACCCAGGGTGAGGTTGATACGCTGGAGGGAAGTGCGCTGAACACAATGCGTTCAAGTTCGAGTAGCCTCTTGTTGAACTCGTCAAACTCTCTATGCAAACTAGTATATAATCTGTGTCAGGTTCTCCCCTATTACGCATCTCCAGCTTCATGGTAATCAGGCGCTAGTAGGCAGTCGCGATGATATCAAAACGTACCCAGTTAACCTATCCGTAGATGTCGATGAGTCGTAATAGCAGTGATGATTGCCGCGAATGCATGATTTGCAAGGAAGCGCCCCGTCGCACTTGGACTTGCGCGCACGACACGGATTACAGGCCTCTACCGTCTTCTTACGCTGGCTCGCCGGCGCGAGGAGTTTCCGCGGTTCAGACGTGGACATTGATCTTTTTTGGCACAGGCTTATGGTTGTCGCGAAAGGTTAGCAGCTGCACACTCACTGTCTGTGGAGTAAGGACATGGCAAGGACACGCCAAGGGGGTGTGAAGATAATAGAAGGGACATGTCGGCCCCGGATTTTGATTAGGGTCGACGGTTGGCCCCCCGCGTTTACCCCATATTTACCCCGCAAAAATATGTCGGCAACAAAACCAAGTTTGCATCGGACTAGCGCCGAACCCCCCAATCGGCATCTCCGCGCCGGGATGAAGCTTAGATGTTCTGTTTCGGCACTCGTCGAGTAGCATTGAAAGTGGAAGACGGTTGGCTGCCAGAGCATCCTACCGTGATAGAAATAAAATAACGACCACTTCGCCAGCCTCTTTATATCTTTCGTGAGATGCATGCAGCGGTTCTCCTGTCGCCCTTTTTGTTTTCCTTCTCCAACACCTGGCAACCAGTCTGATTGTCTAGCTCGAGCCTCGGCTTTTTTTATTAATCAAAATGGCGCAGAGCGATATTGCCCAGGACACCAAAAAAACCCGCGATAGCTGTGAACATGTCGAAAAGACTGTCCTCGTGGACCACCACAAAAAAGCGGAAGCTTTCATCACCCTCGAGAACCTGCCGCCTCTCGATCCGGCTGTAGAGAAGTCGCTAAATAGAAAGCTGGACATCTGGATCATGCCTCTGCTCACGCTCAACTTCATGTTTGCATTTATTGATAGGTACGCCTTGTTTTCCCATTGTGATGACCTGCTTGGGAGGTCGGTGACCCTATGCGGCAGTATTAGCTTAATACCCAACCTCTCTCTCACTATTAGGGCGAACCTCGGGAATACCAAGATTATCGGTTTGGAGAAGGATCTTGGCATGCAGGGCTACGATTTCAACTGGGCGTCGACGGCTTTTGTGAGTCCTCGTGGCCATTAACGGCGCCCATGAAACTTCTTATCGCGCCGACAAGGCTAACAAGGTATATTCCCTCATCTTAGTATTTTACGTATATTCTTGTGGAGTTACCCTCCAACATGGTCCTGAAGAGGGTTGGAGCGAAAATCTTCCTCCCCGGCCTCTGTTTCATCTTCGGCATCATCACCATTTCCACCGCCTTCATTCAAAACTTCCAAAGCATAGTCGCCATGCGTTTGCTCCTCGGCCTCGCGGAGGGCGGACTGCTCCCCGGCTACGCTTTTTATCTCTCATGCCTCTACCCACGCTACGAGCTTGGCGGCCGCATCGCGGGGATGATGACGTCGTCCCTCTCCTCCGGATTCGTCGGCGGCTTTTTGGCCCTCGCCTTCGGTAATCTTGCGCCATTGGCAAATGGTAGGCTCCACACGTGGCGCAACGTCTACTTTTTCGAGGGAATCATCTCCCTCGTCCTCGCCGTGGTGTCCTTCATTATTTTCCCCAACGGCATCGACGACGCCTGGTTCTTGACCAAGGCGGAGAAGGAGGTTGGCCGCGAACGTCTGAGGCGCCAGGAGTTGGCCGAACATTCGCCGAAAATCAACAAGAGACATATAAAGCAGGGCGTGTTTAACCTGGGCAACTGGATGGCCGCTGGTGTCTACGCAATAATAAACGTGCCTGTGCAGGCGTGCATCCTATTCCTCCCCACGGTGCGCTCCCCCGCCCCCTACCCCGTCTCCAGTTGCACGACCAACCAGATCCCCAGCATCGTCATAGCTATTAGAAGGCCTAATCTTAACATATTGTACAGATCATCCATGCCATGGGATACACATCTAGTAGGGCCCAAATCATGTCTGGTGCCCCATTCCTCGTGGGTACCGTTACCCTGGCCGTTCAGGGCTACCTCTCGGACAGGTTCCGTCGTCGAGGATTAATCGTACTTGTCTTCATGCCCTTCATGGCGCTATGCTTCATGCTGCTCCTCATCTTCACCCTGAGCGGACCCGAGCTTCTGAAGCGCACGGAGCTCCGATACATGGCTTTATTCTTGGGCGTTTCTTTGGGCACTTGTGGAGGGCCGATTTGCTTAGCTGTATGTATCCCATTTTCCTTGCTCTTCGCTTTCCGCTAACGTTCGCTGTCTCTCCTCTCAAGTGGGCAACCAACAACACCCCCAACCCGGGTGTACGTGCGGTGTCCACGGCGCTCATCGTCGGCGTCGGCACGGCCGGCGCATTCATTGCATCCTGGACATACACTAACAAGGAAGCCCCCCTGTACGTCACGGGACACTCGATCAACATGGGTTTCTCAACCGTCGCCATCGGCATCGTCATTCTCTACTGGTGGTATTGTAGCTGGGAGAACCGTCAGCGTGACCTAGGCCGGCGAGACCATCGCCTGATCAATCTAACGCAGGAGGAAATTGATGACCTTGGTCATCGGCATCCCAACTTCCGATATGCTTCTTAAAGTGTATGTTGATGGCGTGCTGTGGCAACAGAGCGTATGCTCCTACGTTCCTCTTTCGCTTCTCTCGCATGACTCGGGCCGTAGTCGTGTCAAGTTGGATGGCCTGTATAGTAATACTCCTAAAGAGTTGAAAAGTCGTTTGTTTATTAACTGGCCAGGCTAGACGACCCTTGTAACTGGTGTCGGGAGCATATTACTAGCTTATCCACTTCTGGGTTTCTGCTTTAGAACTTCTCCGTCCCCACAGAGGATTTTTAGATGTGGGTGCTGCTGAAACGAAGCGGTGGTTTCGTAACGTGGCGTGGGTCGAGGAAAGGTCAATTCTCTGCTCTTCACCCATCTCAGCTAAGAAGCCGTGGACAGTTTAGGCGTAGGCAACGCGGCCTATAAGGCACCCCTGTCTCCTCACCTCATTGTTCATAATAACGCGCATCATGGTTTCCCTCATCCACGAACCGAGCCGAGATCTTTCGAGAAATGCAAACCTACATTTTTTGTCATTCGTAAAAGAGGCTCTCGGCATCCTCCCCTACCCTTTCCGCGCTCAATGACGAACGTCCTCCACAAGACAGCCTTCATCGTCCTCCTCGGTGTCTCTGCTAGCGTGGCCTGCCCCACAGTTTGCCTTGCGGCCAAGAATCCCATCATCAGCCCCCTTTCTTCCGCCGATCCGATCTAGAAGTAGGACCCACACTACTCCCTCAACCCGTCGGGGAACCCTGTGACCCAGGATGACTGCATCAGGCGCATTCCCATGAGCAAGATTCTGCCCGAGCTCCTTGAAAAAGAGGGTAACTTGGCCTTTGAATTTTTCCGTGGCGTTTGGAGTGGACGGAGTTAGTGTCGATCTACTGTACAATGCTCTCCCCCTCACGCGACGTGCATACCAACTGTTGATACGGGTAGGTTTTGCAATTAAGCGCATGTGCTTGGCGCGTAGGTGGCAAGTTCCTAAGATAGACGGGGTCCTGGAGGTTGTTGAAGTACTTTAATTATTTAGATGCCCAACTTTGCATATCAAGACAACGTCACAGCTATTTGCAAAATGATGCACGAAAGCTAATCATAACGTACCGTCCCAACACTCATAGGGAGTGAGAACGCCGGCCGCATTACACCCCTTCACTAACCTAGGCTGGACATTTGACATTTCTTGGCCTAGATCGAGTGATCGAGCCCCGCGCGTCGCCTGCCGGCCTCGCCTGTATTGAGCCGGCACTAGAACGCCATGACTATAGATAAGATAACGATCACGATCGGGAACAAAGCTATAAGTAGGTCCCAAGCATCTTTCCTGGAGCTCTGAAGGGAAGTTTTATTCGCTTTTGCGACCGCTCGGCGTAGTCCCCGAAGGGTTCGACCTGCGCGAAGGTGAATGCGGGGAAGAAAATGGCAAAAGGTGCAGAAAGCGTATTAACTTGACCAACAGCGTATGATATAAATCGATAAATTCAACCATTCAATTCAATTCCAGTCCCTGAGCCGGACTTCTCAAGTCTGAGTTCAACTCCCGTTGCCAACTAACTCTTTACCTCCTCGAATCCTATCCTTCCTTCTTTCGCAGCATTTCTGCTCATACCGGGTGGGAATTTACGAAATACCATGGCCCATTTCCCTCCTGGAGCTTTCTGTAGGAGTACAGTTTCTCTTTCTCTTTCTCTTTCTCTTTCTATGGAGTTCACACGGAACAACCTTGGAAACAGTCTCGGCAGTCGATTCAAGCGGACATGCCCTACAGATGATCTCAATCATGCCATCGAGGCTATGACTAGAGCAGTAGATGCCATACCTCAAGATCACCCAAATCGCGTTGGCCAACTAAGAAACTTTAGTGGATTGTTCCACAATGAAGTGGACTGGCTCTATGGATTACCTTAATCGTTTCATCGACGCTGCCTCGGCATCCGGCTCTCGCGATGCGTACGGCGTACACGAATCACAAACTACTCGGGAAAGTAGCTTGGCAAGCATATCGAGACTGTTTCTCCCCGTCACCCGAAATTCGACGACTTCGTCCTGTGGCCCGGTCGGACATGGGTCAACGACACAAATTCGATAGTCCCAAGCGCGTATACTCACTTCGACACCGAACAGCCACACGACAAATGCGACATCGATTATGATAAGCTTGACGGGTCTTCCGGCGCCCGCATATGGGTATTGATGGGCTAAGCCACCGTTGAGAGCACAGCCGCGGAATAGAAGGAGATGAGGAGTCGTGGGCTGTGCGAGGAGGAGTTCGCCACCTTCGCCAAAGAGACTTCTTCAAATAGGGCGGGGAAGGGAAACCGAAGCCCTCGGAACTGTTGTGGATCATAATTTGGTCCCGTGGCCTACAGCTCGGTGATGGTGAAAGCAATTGCCGAATTCAGCTCGATCTACTGTGGTGTGCTAATGTCCGACAATGCGGGGTGCAGAATCCCGGGATGAGGGCAGTTGTGGTCTGCCCTGACTGACTACGCCAATTTGGGGAACCCCGGCCGATCCGACCGATAGCCGAAGATGTCTATTCCAGATGTGTACATTCCCGCGTTGAGGAGGTGACTTTTTTGGTAATTGCACTCTTTGGGACATTAGGGCCGGCCCCACTAAGGTGGATGTTTGGATAGCGTGCTACGATGCAACAAAGGCGATGAAGAAGTGTTCCCCGAAGGCTTGGATATGGCATTGAGGCGAATTAGGAGTTCTATAAAGCTAAAAGGGCTCAAGCTCGCTACGTCATAGAGACGTTGTAAACTTTGGACTCGTGTAAGCGAAAAAGCCAACCCTCGTTCACGTGGGCATCATCAGTAGCTTTCAAGAAACCCTCAGGATCGGCCGTGTTAACATGACTGCCCTACAACGTGTAGGGTGCGCCGGATTGGCGATCTGGCTACATATCACCAGCACGATGGCAGCCGCCGTTAATCCCCGTGATGTGGCTCCATACTTGAATCCTTCCCTCCCTCCCCCGGAGCGTGCTGCCGATCTCTTGGATCGCATGACCTGGGAAGAGAAGATTGGCCAGTTAGGTGGAGTGAGGAGAGCCTTCGGTACATCTACGGGGAAGCCAACGTTTAACAGGTCATCGTTTGAGACGGTACACGCTACCCAGAACGGCCAGGTCGGTGCGTCAGTATCTGTTCCTCTAATTAACTCAAATGAAACTAGGAAGGCACATACCCTTCCAATCGTGTCTATTAACCTTGTCATCGAAATGCGGCGAAAAGACTGCCAGCAATAGCTAACCAACGAATGTTCCAGGCTACGGTCCCCAAGCGAATTGGGCCCACGATCTACTGCCAATGATGAACGGCCTGCGGGCCGAGCAGCTTAATTCTTCGCGTCTCGGCATCCCGTATATCGTGATAGCTGATTCGGTGAATGGATTATGGTTTTCCGGTGGCACACTTTTCCCCGGTACAGTATCCATGGCCTCGTCATGGAATCTCCCACTCTACGGCGATGTTGTCGCCGCCATTCGCGACGAAAATCTTGCCATGGGCGTGAATTGGGTTCTTTCCCCCGAAGTGGACATAACTAGGGACCCTCGGAATGGCCGCAATGGCGAGATGTATGGTGAGGATACCTATCTCGTTGGTGAGTTCGCAACGCGCTACGTCCAGACGATGCAGGAAAAGGACGATGGTGGCTGGGTCAAAATCGCCACCACCATCAAGCACTTTGTTTTCGGCGCAGGCAGTGGCGGCGTCAACCGTGCTAGCATGGAAGGTGGTATCAACCACATCCTCAACGATCTCGCACCTCCTTACCGCAAGGTTATCCCGGAAGCTCAGCCCATGTCACTGATGGCATCTTACTCGACTGTTGACGGAGTGCCCATGTCTATCAACAAGTATCTCCTCCAGGATGTCCTTCGCAGTATCCTTGGTTTTGAAGGCCTTATCATGTCAGATGCCAATGCCATCGAGTATCTATTCACAGAGGCCAAAGTGGCCTCCTCACGAGAGGACGCTGCGTTGAAAGCGTTGGCCGCGGGGCTAGAGCACGAGCTACACCCAGGCGGTCACGGCCTGTTCTCGGATTTGATAGACCCTGCGCACGGAGGCGACCCGTCCATTGCGTCTCTGGTTAACGAGTCGGTCCGAGCATTTCTTGAAATCAAATTTGCAACTGGCATGTTCGATCGGCCTTTGCCAACCGTCGAGAATATGAAAGCCACTCTCCGTAACAAGCGCCACTTGGGGCTCAATCGGAACATTACGCGCGAGTCGCTCGTCATGCTCAAGAACGACGGTTTCCTTCCGATCAGCCGCGACCAAATATCATCATCAGAGGGCAAGATTGCTGTCATCGGGCCCTATGCTGATATTATTAATGCCGGTAACTACGCCCCGGCTGACCCTCTTGACCGACGTTACGGCGATTCGATTCGCCGCAGCTTTGAAAGGGAGCTGGGGAGAGACAAGATTGTCTACGCCAAGGGGACTAGCACCATCCTTCCGAATTACGATGACGATGGATCCGCAGATGATGAGGCTATCGCCGAAGCCGTTGACGTAGCCAAGGGCGCCGATCTGGCCGTCATCGTGCTCGGCTCGGGCTTCGGCAACTTCGATACCAGCTTCATCAATAACGACCGCACGGATACCGAGGGCTTTGCACACGCGGATCTCGGATTCCCGGGGAAACAACAGCACCTTCTAGACGCCGTCCTTGACACCGGTGTACCGACTGTCCTCATTATGAATTCGGGCCAGACTTTCGTCATAAACGACTCTACCATGTCGCGTTGCCGCGCCATCTTCCACGCCTGGCTGGCGGGAGAGTTCACTGGAGACGCCGTTGTCGAGACGCTGCTGGGCCAAGTTAATCCCAGCGGTAAACTCACCGTCACGATGCCTCAACACAACGGGGCTTTCCCGGCCGCATACGATTTTCTGCCCTCGGACGCAGTCGGCGGGTTCGGAGGAGCGACTCTTTATGACTGGCACTGGCCACAGCTGACGCGCAAGGCGCCGCTCGCCTTCGGGTTCGGGTTGAGCTATACGACGTTCAACTTCTCTAGGGCTTCGATCTCGACACAACAACAACGCAGGGGGAACGATACCAGTGCCGTGTCGGTTTCCGTAACCGTCACTAACTCGGGGGACGTCGCTGGGAAGGAGGTCGTTCAGTTGTATTACCGTCCTCAGCACACCATCATCGAGTTCCCTGTGATGAAGCTGATTCGGTTTGTCAAAATCACACTAGAGCCGGGTGAGTCGAAGGAGGTTGTCCTCAACACGGTTCCTATCAAGGAATTAGGTTATTTCGTGAACGGCAAGTGGAATGTAGACCGAGGCAATTACTCTTTCTGGGTGGGCAGCAGCTCTAGAGGGGAAGATTTGACATGTCTCGACGTCTATATATTCTAAACCTAAGAAAGTTCGAGCCTGGGATGTGAGGCTCCGGCGTTTACGTGTCTCCCCGTGTCCACCAGCATCCGCCAGCAATAGCTCAACGTGGATGCAAGTGGGAAGAGAGCTCTCTCCTTCTACGGTTGTCCTACATGGAATATATTGAATATAGTTATAAAACATGTATGACTCATTTATTGATGACGCATTTCAGCTGTAAAAGGGGGGGGGGGCAAGTGTGCACATATGCCAGCAGTGCGAGAGGGATGGAACTAACTCATTGTTCTCAAAATTCCACCTAAATGTGATACAATGTATTACATCTTGTACAAAGGAGATCAACTCGTGATGCTAAGGTAGACTACCATCGGCGTCAAAAAGCCAGTCCCAGTCCTGTGGACCCCACCAGGCAAACATTGACTGTTGGGTTTCCCCAGACAACCCTGCCATGAAGTCCGTCTCTTGGTAGGTCGTTGTGGAGGGAGTGCCGGTGAATTCCCATTCTTGGATAGTACCCACGTTAATACCAGAAAAGGTCATGCTGTCCGTTTCAACTGCAGTTTTGAGGCCGCCGTCAATCCTCCTGGAGCTGAGTTCTGTCGCCAGCGGCTGTTGCAAATCTAATTTGTCGCCAATAGATTGAGCCGGCGCAGCGTTTGCCGGAATAGGCGCACCACCCCCTTGCCTCGACGAGTCATCTGGGTGTTTTTGTTCCTGCACTCGTTCTGGTCGGTGGATCTGGATGGGAATGGAAGGCGATGTGGCAGTAATTCCCGGCCGATCATTGTCCATAGCCCCGTCGTTTTCGTCATCCGTGTCATTGCTCGAAAAATCGGCTCTACGGAGTAGACTATGAATCGCCAACCTCTGGCGGGCCTGAACTGCCATCGAAAGCTGTTTTTCCGGAGAATGGCCTTCGTCTTGTTGTTGTGTTAGGCCGTCCTCCGGTCTTTCGGGTGACGATAATACTGCATGCGTGGACAGGGTGCCATGGGACGGCTGTCGGCCCTGATTTGAATACAAAGAATAATACTGGGCGCCACCACTTATGTCTCGCTGCTGTTCCGAGAATACCTTCAATGACCGTTCTAGTTCCTGGATGATGGGTGCAACTAGGGCAGAAGATGGGAAAAAGCGTTTTAGGGCAGCAAGGCATAAATCTCCGCGGCTGGCGGCGAATCCGGGAGCAGGGCGGGAGGAACTCCTGCCGAAGCGGGAGATGAACAAGATGAGACGTGTAGCGTGATACGCACATATTGCGGTGTCGAACTCGAGCAAGTGGTGTTCCGTGCTGTGCTGGTTCAGGGACGTGATGATTTGTATGATGCGCATCGCATGTTGCAGACACTGTTCCTCGGCAGCAACCACGGCAAACTCGGAAACTCCATTTAGTACCGGGGCAGGGGCAGCTTCGGGGTATCCAGCGAGTAGGAGGCGGTTAAGGTCACAGTGAGCTTGATGCCATGAAACGTGAGCAAGCACGCGTCTTGGGAGCCATCGATCTCGGCTGGAGTCAACCAAGCCCGCGGTAGCAAAGTTCGTCAGGATGTCACCCCCTGGAAGAGTGTCCGGTGGCTCAACGGTGGAGAGGGTGTGCGCGTGGTGATGAAGGAGGTCGCCAAGGGATGGGAGCTCATTCTCGACAAGAGCGACGCTCCGAGTCAGTTTCATAATATCCCTTCGAGCCGATTCGAGCTGCATAAGCAGCCTATAGGCACCTCCCTCCTCACTAGAGACGTTCCCGTCACCCTCCTTGTGGTTAGCGACCTCGTCGCCAGACTCTTCCCCTGGTCTAGGGATAGGAGCGAAGCTCTCTTCGGCGTGCGGAAAGTCGATATATATGACTTCCAGGGGAAACAGATCAAATTCCGCGAGACCAGAAGAGAAGTATCTCTCAACAATTTTTAGAGACCAGAGAATGCGCCGGCGGGCCTCGCGCGCGACGGGGTCCAGGTCTGGCCGCTCGTGATTCAGACGCATGGCGGCAGCAAAGCGAGCCGCGGTGGCTGTAAGCATGAATGCTCGCTGGAAACATCCGGTTTCCATACGATGATGAATGATCAAGAGCAATGTCTGCAAGCGGGGAATGTTTGGGCTTTCTAAATTCACCCAGACACTCTGCTCGGCGGCTTGTACCCAGGAGGCGGTCGTCGCTGCCGGCAACGAAATGTCATTTCCGCTCCCCAAGTGCAAGGTGGTTATGGCGCAGATCGCCGAGACCAGGTCACCATAGAGGCGGCCATTACCGCAGCGCCTCTTAGTAGTTTGGGGGTGGAGAAAAGAATACGAAGGCATGGGGTAGATCCTATCAAAGAAAATGTCGACGAGACGTAACTGAAGCTCGTGAAGGCTATTCCCGGAAATTTTACTCGTACCAGTGCCTGAGCAGGAATGGCCCGATCTTTCCAGACGTAAACTTGAAGGTTGTGGTGAATACGGATCAGAGGCCAGAGCCATGGGCGATGGCGCTGAGGGCGGTACAGTAGGAGTCTCCGGACTCGACTTTGCGGCTTCACCAGGACAGGAATAACTAGGTATCCGGTCTTTACTCTGGTCGGTATCGTCGCGGGGGACTTGATTACCTCGTTTTGGGGGCAGGTAAACACACTCGCTTCCACGTTGGCGGCAACTCGTACAGGATGGCCGAGTCGCGGAGCACCTGGTCTTCTTCTCCCGGCAAGCAGCACACGCGCGTAATCCACGGAGCCGCCTAGGCCTGCCTGTGACCTGTGAGAAGGCGGTAACTGACTCGATCTGCACTTCTGAAGGCGTAATGGGAGTGTCACGGTCGTCCACATTCACCGTAGCCGACATAGGAGTCGAGAGTGAACACGGGAAACCTAGTCGCCTGCAATTGGAACAGATGCCTCGCCGCTTATCACAGCGGACCTTGAACGGGTCAATCATTAGCAAAGAGGACAGTCCAACGATTCGGATGTCATGGGACATCTAGCTTTGTACCTTGCGCCATCGACATTGAGCACATGTTTGCGCCCCATTGGCCAAACCGGTCGACTTGAAGCACCCGATAAAATATTGACCATCCATAATGAAGCCGACGGAGGTCAGTCGATGAAAGTTGCTAGATCAACTCCATGCACCGACGGAGTGTTAACGAGCTGCCTCGGACAAGGGGGGAGCAGGATGCGGAAATGGTTCTGTGGGAATGGGAAAGGAGGGCGAGGTGGAGAAGAGCAATTTACTGACGCTTCTACAGAGCTAGCCGGAACAGTCCTAGTTACCCCAAATACTCAAAAATGTATCTCATTTTGGGGAGGTCAAAGGGTCTGTCCAGGTGGGGAACAGAACCTGGGTTTTGTGGGGTTTGTGGGGGACTGGCTGGGGACATCCGGCAACAGACGGTCCCCAAATCGCGTCACCCCAACCTCCATGGCTCGATAAACTACAACTATCGAGGATCTGAAATGTGAAGTCATGGTCCAAGCCCCTGTCAGAACTCCAATACAAACGAGTATGTGTTTTACACACGGGGCTAATTCCTATTCTGAAATGGGTTTTCCTAATCCTAGTCAAATGCCGTACCAATTTAGCGTTTCAAACCCTCGGGGAGGTGTAATTTTCGGGGAGTAAATCAAGGATAACACATTATAACGCGACCCAAAGATGTCGCCCAAGTGCTGATAGGCACAACGGCCCTAACACATTTTTTTTCTCCATTTCATTTAGGACATAGGCGGCGGTGGTGCCTATTTCTTGAATGAAATGAGGCCTCGTATTCAGGCACCCGAGATGTGGATAAAACGGCGAAGCCCATGGGCCAAGCAAGGCGCGGCCTTGGCTCGAAGATGTTGTACAAGACATGTCGCCATTCGGGAAACATCACGGGATCAATTGATGCTGACACTGAAACTAGTGCGCTCGGTATATTCTCGACGATTTCACCGCTCTTCTAGTGACCCACCACTTTTGCAGGAGGCTCATTGTAATTTAGGAATATTGATGTCTTTTTTTGCTCAAAATAAAATAAAATGCCCGAGACCGTGGAGTAGTTTAGCCATACGCCCCGAGGTTAGGCTCTACTACATTGTATACGGACTCTAATCTATCCTCCCCGCTAATAATTCCCAGAGTCTCCATTCACCCTGGTCTAGGTTGCAGAAGCCTCTCGCCTAATGCCGTTCTGAGCGTTGTTTTTAACGCCATTGGGGATCTTCGCACTCGGTCCGGTAAGCCTGAGATGAATAGGGTCATCGCCGATCTGCTCCATCTTATCCTCGAGGAGCTTTTTCATCTTCTGCGCGACTTCCTGATAGTTTGGGTCCTCATAGACATTAAACAGCTCGAGTGGATCCTGTTGGCAGTCAAATAATTCCCATTCCTTCTCTTCCTCCAGGGTAGGGTCTTCCGCGCTGCCGGGCCTCGCTCCGGCCATGCCGAGAGCCTCGTTATACCAGTAAATGAGTTTGTATCGGTGGTCGCGCACGCCGTAATGAGCATATGCTTGGTGGATGATGTCGTTGTGCATCCAGTACCGATGGTAGGCGACCTGCTGCCAATCATCGGGTGTTTGTGCCCGAAATAGAGGCCGCATCGAAACTCCTTGCATATAGTTAGGAATCTTCAAGCCCGCAAAGTCTAGGAAAGTCGGCGAAAAGTCCACATTACACGCGATATCGTCGCAGATGGTTCCGGGGGCGATCTCGGCAGGGTATCGCACGAGGAACGGCATCTGGAAAGATTCCTCGTACATAAACCGCTTATCAAACCAGCCATGCTCACCGAGGAAGAAGCCCTGGTCTGACGTGTAGATCACTAACGTGTTCTCCGCAAGGCCCTCCTTGTCGAGATATTCAAGCATCCTACCCATGTTATCGTCGACTGACTGGATGACGCGGAGGTACCGCTGCATATAGCGCTGGAACTTGAACGCGGATAGCTCGGCCTCGGAAGTGAAGGTGAACGCGGCACCAGTATCCTTGTCGATAAGCTTGATATTCGGATCCGTGGGTACTTTGCGCTGCGCGGATCCCGACTCCTGAGTCACACGCGTGCCGACACGGTTGCCACCGTCTGGCTGTACGAGCCCCAAGTCTTGATACGTGAGGTCTTCCGCCACCCGCATCTTGGCCACTCGGGCCGCCTTGGCCCTGTTCTTGTAGTCGTCGTTGTACGTCTCAGGGACCCGGATTGGCTTATCGGCGTAGAGCTGCTTGTGCTTGTCGTCGCACTCCCAAGACCTGTGGGGAGCCTTATGGTGGCACATGATGAAAAAAGGCTTGCCTGAATCTTTCGTCTGGGTGATCCAGTCTAGGCACTTGTCCGTGATAATATCTGTAACGTATCCGCTTTCATTTTTCGAGACGGAGGGTCCGTTCGGATCCGACTTTGACATCTCGATGAACTCGGGATCCCAGTAGTCCCCCTGACCTGGCAGAACCGACCAATAGTCAAAGCCGGTGGGCTCATGCCCTTTGCCCTCGCCAAGATGCCACTTTCCCACCATGGCCGTGCGGTAGCCGCCCGTTCGCAGGTGTTTCGCTACATTAGGGAGTTTTTGGTTGATGTGGTCGTCGAGGGTCATGACACCGTTAACGTGGTTGTACGTGCCAGTCAAAATGGCCGCTCGCGAAGGAGTGCAGATCGAGTTCGTTACATAGCAGTGGTTGAACTTCATGCCTTCCTTCGCCAGCCTATCGAGATTTGGCGTCTGGTTTATGCCGGCCCCGTAGCAACTAATGGCTTTCGAGGCATGGTCATCAGCCATGACGAACAGAATATTGGGTCGTGAGGCCATGTTGGTAAACAAGGCGGAATGATGTCGCAGGAGAAGTTCCGCTTCGGTGTTTTCTCAAGGAGAAAAAGAGGGAGGGAAAAAAAAAAGAGGGGGGGGGGGGGGGGGGGGGGGGGAGGAGGGGGGCTTCGTGTTGATTCGCACCAAGAACGATTTTGACAAGGCGTTGGAGAAAGGAGAAAGGGTCACGATGAATTCTTGGCAGAATTAAGGGAGATGGAGAGAAGAAGAGAGGACATGCACACTGCTGGACTCATGGCTTGCGGCTTTCCCTCGGCTCGGCTTATAAAGCTTGGATGCATTATGACATGTAGGGAATCCTCGCGCCTGATCGAGCGTCGGCGTCGTGCGGCATGATTAGAAAGACCATCTTATTCGCAAACGACTTCTGGGTTCCATCGCCTTTGAAGCCATGCTTGGCTAGCTAGAGTGCGTGTGGAGGTCGTGGACTCGGCTGTCGGACTCGCTTAACCATCAGTGGACAGGGCTTCAAGGTTTTTCACCCTCAGCACCCGCCGCGTGCAGATGATTGGTGGGTTTCATCTCCGTGTTAAGCCCCAGCCTTCGGCAGTCGGCCGGGACTTCTATACTCGGACTAGTTCGGCCATAAATTACGCTAGATCTTTTTCCCGACACAGAAAACCCAGTTTGCCTCCAGGAAACTACCCCCGCCCGATCCAAATTACCCACGGGGTAGCTTACCTTTCGTTGGCAAGCTCGGCATTCAAGTCCCAAGCATGGTTTCGTTACCACGAAATGCAGCTTTGTTCGAGCCCCCAGAAGATGAGGCGGGGCGTTGATTGCTTTGAAGACATGAACGCGTGATCAGCTCTCCTTCCCTATTATATATAACCTTGCCTTTTACCAACTTCGCTATTACCCGGCATTGCCATATCCTCGAATGCTGCGCTCTAACTCCTGAGACAAAATGTCGAAGACATTAGGAACCTTCCGAGCGGTGTACCTCGTAGCCCTTTGCTGCGTAGGCTCGTTCTTATTTGCCTATGATACAGGTATTATCGGCGGCATTCTCACGTTTAAAAGTTTTCAGAGAGATTTCCGTTACACAGAGGATCAGAGGGCGACCGTTGGATCTAACTCCACAAGTCTCCTTCAAGCTGGAGGTACGTCGACCAACCCGGGAAGATGGTCTTTGAAGGGGCACTCGGCCCCTTTTCTATCACAATAAGCCTACTAACGACTTGTGCCACGCTACAGCTTTCTTCGCTTGTTTCTTCATTTGGCCCTTCACTGCCAAGTACGGTCGTCGATGGTCCCTCATCCTCGCCTCCGCCATCTTCAATGTCGGCGCGGTCATTCAGACCATAAATACACACTCGCTCGCTGCTTTCTACGTCGCCCGCGTCATCAGCGGTATTGGTGTCGGAATGGCCACTGTTATTGTTCCCATGTACTCCGCAGAGATGGCACCAAAGCACATCCGCGGCATGCTTGGCAGCATGTTCCAATTCTTCTTTACAATGGGCGTGATGACTTCATACTGGATAGACTACGCCTCAGACCTCCATATTGCCGACAATAACAGCGCACAGTGGCAGGTGCCTGTCAGTATTCAACTTGTCCCCGGCGCCATCCTTGGCTTCGGCATGCTACTAACCAAAGAGAGCACGAGATGGCTGGCGAAGAAAGGTCGACGTGAGGAGGCCTTGGCCTCGCTGGCATGGGTCCGAGGAGGGGACAGCCCCGAAGTACAGGAAGAGTCAGTTTTTGTTTATGCTCAGCGATCAATACCGATGGAGGTACCCCCATGAAAGACTAACTTGGTCTGCAGGTTTGTGGAGATCATCGCCAGCATTGAAGAAGAAAATCGCATCAAATCAGGCATCACATGGAAGGAGCTTCTCGAACCTATCAACAGATACCGCCTGTTCCTCATTATTGCTCTGCAGATTGGTACGCACTCATGATTAAAAGACTCCTCTAGAGCCTGCAGGTCTAATACACTCTAGGTGTCCAACTTACCGGCAACACTTCAATGGCGTACTGTATGCCTTCCCCCTCTCCTCTTCTCTCTCGACAGCGTCGGTCTAATTTAGTATCGCAGATGCTCCTCAAATCTTTTCCCTGGTTGGCGCTAGTCAAGATAAGCTTCTCCTCACCGGCTTCTTTGGCCTGGTCAAGGTGGTAGCTTGCTTGTTCTTCCTCCTCTTCCTTGTTGAGCGCATAGGCCGCCGTGGGTCTCTCCTGGCGGGTGCATTTCTCATGGGAGCCTACATGCTCATCGTGGCGATTTTGACGGTCAAATTCCCCCCGGACCCGGATGCTGGACTCACACCCGCCTCTATTGCTTCCTTGACCATGATCTACCTGGAAGCCATGAGCTATAACATTTCATGGGGTCCCGTACCTTGGGTAAGTACAGACCCTGTCCGCCGCCGCCTCGAGGACGACCGCTTCAGAATTTTTCTAACTTTGGTCCGCTGCTCTACAGGTATACATGGGTGAGATTTTCCCAACACGTATTCGTGAAGCTGGTATCGCCATCGGAACCTCGACGCAGTGGCTGTTCAACTTTGTCTTCTCCCAGGCAACACCCCATGCCGTCAAGAACCTAGGGTGGAGGACTTTCCTGATGTTCTCCATTTTCAACTGGGCGCTTGCGGTTTTCGTCTGGTTCTTTATTAAGGAGACAAAAGGAAAATCCCTTGAAGAAATGGAAGATCGTGAGTTCCACCCCACTTCTGGGCCTCTTTGCAGTGGGGCTACGCTTTCTGCTCTGTGCTATGGTACTAATGGATACTTCAGTGTTCGCTCAGAGTCTCGGCGTTCACAGGGATACCGAGGCTACAATAGCCGAGGCTCAGTTGAAGAAAGGAGGCGAGGATTTGCGAGTTTCGCAGGTTGAGGAGAAGCCGAACTGAGCCTTTTATTGATTGAATGCATCCCTCTTTCGTGACTGGGTCGTGGTCTCCATGTACAGCGGATTTAGCAGGACCGAACGATGACACTTTCACGAATCAGCCCCCGGAGTTTAACCGGAAAAGGGGCTTGACATCCATGATCCGAACAATCCGATATCAATAGAGATGGACTACAATTTGTATCTATAGTACTCGAGTTTCCGTAGAAAAACGAAGAGCGTAGTTTCGACTCTAGAATCACCAAAGAGGACGGACGGCAATTGATTAATATCCGGAGGAAGGATTAGATGGAGCGGCCTGTCCTTGACAAGGTCATGGCACGAGCAGTAGTAGCATTGCAGAGGTGAAGCGGTCTGGGTCCTGTTCTGGATATGTATGTCTCCGGCGGTCCTGACAAGACAGGGCACGCTAGACACCATAGAAGATAGAAGGGCGCCTGGACGGAGCCTATGTACTCCTGAAGTTGGAGAAATAAGCTACTGTCATTATGAAGCCTAAGTGTAATAAGCCGTAAGTTAGTGGGGAAGTAGGTGTTTATGTGTGGGTGGATTGAAATTATGGTGTAGGTCTTAGGGGGCCTAATTCTGCATGTCGTTAAATTTCGCGACATTCTCTGCCAAAGACAAGTTCCTTCGCTATCGCTCCCTCCCTATTTTCCAACTCGTCCCACCAGGGCAGCTCCTGGAACCTCCTATACCAGTCCGCAAGCGGTTTCAGCTTCTCATCCTCTAAGATCTCCCACCCGTAAGACAGCTCCGTATACCGGCATAGAGCGGCCAAGGAGAAGTCAACTAGTCCAGGCCCGTTAATACCCGGCGTCAGCCAGCCCGTGATATCCAGGCTGCCCTCAGCCCACCCTTGCACCTTGCCAAAGGCTACGACCATGGTCGCCAATCCATTGCGCGCGGCACTGAGACTGCGGTCTTCGTTCTTCAGTCCTGACCAGAAGGCCGTTTGCGGAATAGCGTGTTTCATGTAGACGGCTCCATGGGCAAATCCATCGTTGATCGCAAGTAAACGGTCGTTCATGCGTGCGCGGTCGAGTGCGGATTTCGGCTGCATATCTGGCCCGGAATTGGCGTAGACTTCGTCAAGATAGCACATAATTGCGGTACTCTCGTGGATCCATTTTTCATCTCCGGTTGTTAGGTCGGCGACCCTGAGACAAGGCGTGCTAGTACCGGGCTTAAGTGTGTCTTGGGCGGGGTTGAATATCCATCGAGCTCCCGACCCCGACAAGTTAGGTTCCATGAAGACAATTCGCAGGTTGGGCTCGGTTGTCCTTCCGGCTAGCAGGTCGGCTGGGGAGCGGACGAGGCCTTTGGAGAGGAGGAGGTAGTCAATGCGGCGTGGGAACATGCCTTCCACCCATAGCCAAAGAGTATGTTGATACCTGACGGACATAGTTGGCTCACGGAGATGAAGCTTTTCTGAATACGGGATTTTTGCGAAGATATTGTTTGGAAGACTTATGCATGGTCATCTAGTGGAGAGAACGGAGGTAGTCACCACTCTTATATGCAGTTTTCGGTGACTTGTACCCCGGCTCGCTAAAGGAGGGCGTCTTAAATGTCTCCGAGATCCAGTTTCCTCGCCTTCCTATTGGAGACGCCGGAGCCTTTTCAAATGTCACCGCGCCAACCCCCACCAGCCAATAGACGTTGTAACCGTAGCGAATGAATGGAATGAGTTGTCGGCTGTGCTGCAATCCTAACACTAGCCCACTGACTGGTATCAAGCAGATACAACTGGTGAAAGGGTTATAGGTTATCTGTTATAAAGTAAATTATAAGGCAGTCAAGCAGTATTCACAAGATATCAATAAGAAGTGCGTATTCAAGGGCTTGGTAGACGTCGATCTCCAGCCGTCGATTTTCCGCATGACCCTGGACTCGGCTACCGAGGTGTTGTTGGGTCGCTCCTTTAAGTCGCAGCTAGAGGCAGCTGGCTCTCCATCGCGGCGTTTCGTGGAAGCGTGCGTTTGCCTACGCGTAGCTCAAGATCCACGCTCGCTACCTCATGGATAGAGACCTGACGAAGCCATTAGGTTTGTTGCTGAGATTCATGAATCCCACCATCTGGAAGGAGTTCGACACGTCATGCGAGACGGTGCATCGCATTGTCGATGAGATTGTTGCCGAGTTCTTATTGTCCCTGGATCACAAGGCGCTTCATGAATCAGGCGAAGAGAGATACGAAAAGCAGGATCGAAACGATGACGACCCAGAGCCCAACAATTGCAAGAAGTACGTCTTTCTTGAGGAGTTGGCGAAGGAGACTCGCAATCTGATCGAGCTGCGCGACGAGACTCTCAACGTGCTCGTAGCGGGTCGGGACGGCCTCGCTATTAAGCATCGCCCTTTTCGTTCTGGATCAACGGCCCGGTATCTGGGACAGCGTGCGGATGGAGGTCATCAAGACGTTCAGAGACAGCCTGCCGGAGAACAAACCTCTGCGAAACATCAGAAAAATGAGAAACCTACGAAGCGAATCTAAGTCCTCTTTGTTTGTCTATGCTTAAATTGTGATTGGAAATCCGGTCAAGGAGTATTTCGACAGGATCTAAACTGATCCTTCCTGCGATTGCATCTCAGGTTTACGCCTCTGGCCTCCAGTTCCGCGAAACTCCCGCAAGGCGAACACAAACACGAATCTGCCATGAGGCGGCAGCCCAGACGGGCAGTCCCCAGTGTTCACCCGAGCTGGCCAGTCTGTCAACTACCATGTGTACTCCATGCATCGACTCACATCCATCTTTGGCGAAGACGGCCACGTCTTCCGTCCGGACCTCTGAGACGATCCAAGCCTTCGGCCCGGATGGGGCTACATCCCGTAAGTTGACTCCTCCCAAAGCCGGCGACATAGCAAACCACGCGGCTGAAGGAAGGATTTTCTGACTAGATGTCTCTGTTTGTTTACAGCTTAAATGGTGGGCCGCGCACCTGCCCGGGGCAGCAATTCGCTCTGACCGAGGCTGCTTATGTCCTCACTCGTCTGATGCAAAGTGTAGAGTCCATTGAGCGACACGTTTTCGAGATAGAGTGGGCCGAGCATTTGGCTCTGGTCACAAAGGGTCGCAATGGTGTAAAGGTTGCCCTGAAAATGACCGACGAGAATTACCATGACTCGTGATCACCGATAAAGGCCCCGTTACAATTGTAATTAGCGAAAAATGCAAAACTGTGTATGATAATATTCACAAATGGAATAGGGTAAACGAAGGTACATCAGACTTGGTATGAGATATCCCGTGACTTGGCATTCCAACGTACCGAGGTATTAGGTAACAACAACCGATGTTACGTCAACACAAAGCTACACAGGAGAAGCACCACCAAAAACCAGCCCAGACCATCCTAAACCCTTAAATCCTCCCCGTTTTCAATTTTTCCAAACTGCTCCTGTTTCTAGTCGATCTACAACTAGGCAATACCTGCGCAAGTCCCAAGGTCTCCTGGTCTCAGAAAAGTCGGGATGTTAGGAAAGTTGCAATTTATTCAGCCTCCATATCACCCCCTCATTGGGGCCAAATTCCGCGTCCTCGAGACGACTCAGGAAAACTTCAAGTATGCCGAAGCGGCGCTCAACAAATCAGCCATGGACGCTGGTTACAGACTCTGTATCTTCCGGAAATATCCCAATAGCACCGATCCGAGCCGGGTCACTTTTTGCTGCAGCAAGGGCGGCGCATACAAGCCTTCCAGAGGACGTGAGGTAAACGAGGACGACCCTCCCAAGAAGAAGAGGAAGACATCCACCAAAAAGACCAGCTGCCCCTTCCAGATCGCTCTCAGGAGAGTATGTACTGCTTGGGTTGTCGAGGGCATCAGAGGTCATGAGGCGCACAACCATCCAATGGTTGATGCCTCGGCTATCCCGGAGTATAGGACGGCAATTGTCAAGAGCAGGGAGGAGCAGATTATCAGGTTTGGGAACGAGAAGAGGCCACCAAGAGAGATTTTGGAATTCTTGAGGGATGAGGATGAGGCTTTCAAGAAGGTCAATGCTCAAGACATCTCAAACTTTCTTGCCGCCTACCGCCGCCAGGCAAATGCTACGGATGAGGATACTAGAGACAAGGATTCCGGGGATGGGGCGAGGGATGGGAATGCAAGGGATGAGGGTGCAAGGAATCAGGACATGAGGGATGAGGAGACTCAGGAGAACAAAGAGGTGGCAGACCCTCCAAAGGAGGGGGCTTAATGAATTTGGTGGTGGGCCTGGGTGATTTGGGGTGAAGGATAGTGATTTTGGGACGGGGGTTATTGGGTGAATGATTCATGTAGTGCCTTCATGTAGTGCTTTCGCTTGGAGCGGTATCAACATTGTTGTTTTCGATCTCTTTAGAGACGAGGTTTAGCGCAGGGCGTTCCAGACAATTGGTGACTACGGCTTGAAGCTTGAGGCCCAGCATTACTCTGACATGGTCCCTCTCAACGAAGTGTCCTTCGTCGATACCACCTGCGCGTGACACAACCTCGTGAGAGAATTAATCTCGTCCGCCATAGTCACGGTCACTCTTCTCGATAGCAGCCAGACTCATTTTTTGACTTCGGGTCGGGTGGTACGTCGTTGATCGGCATGGCTTTGGGGGTGGCTGACATTTAGTAGAATGTCCGAACTTTCTACCGTTGAGGCGTGTCACTCTTTCTAACGACGCATACAGTAGAGGAGGCGAGCAGCGGTCTACCCAGCTGACACCGACTAAATCGAGCTCCAGCCTGAGATGAAAGCAGGGCTAATGATTAAGTACATACTTGCTCGGATATTATTATGTACTGACGCAATGCGAAGGAAATTGCAAGCCTCGCCCCGTAGTTATATCAACGGATTACTCCGTGTATTCAAGTGCTTCGCGTCAGAGACGAGCCATACAATCCACCCACCCCAACCTCCGGAACTCCAGCCGCTCCACGCGATTCCTTGAACAATCTATCATGACAGAGCCTAGAACCACTGCATGATGTCTTCCCCTCCTAAGCCTGTTCGGGGCTTCGAGACTCTTCAAATCCATGCGGGGTACGGGAGAGCCTATTCAACCACTGTGATGAGCCTAGGAGACGGAAGAAGCTAACCATTTGGAAGGCAGACCCCGCAACCAATTCGAGTGCCGTTCCCATCTATGCCACCACTGTTCACGTACCCCAACTCGATAATATCACAATTTTTTGGCTTCTAACTGACAGGAACGTTATTGTAGAGCTACACGTTCAATGACTCTGCTCACGGGGCGAGACTATTCGCGCTCACAGAGTTTGGCAACATCTATAGCGGTGTCATGAACGTAAGTCGGAAGAAGTTCCAGGTGTGTACTGGGAGTCATTGAGGTTTCCTCGGTCTTGGGTCTATCTTGGTCTTCTCTTTTTCTTCTTCTTCTGATTGCAAATTGTCCCTCCTAAAGCCGACTGTCGCATCTTCAAGAAGCGAATCGCAGCTCCGGAAGGCAGCGTCACGGCGCTCGCCGCTTCATCTGGTCATGCCGCATAAATCATGACGATCCTGACCCTCGCTCGGGCCGGTGACAATATTATATCAATGTCGACCCTTTATAGCGGTACCTATAACTAATTTAAGGTGTTGATGCCCCGATTTGGCATCACGATCAAGTTCATTTATCCTGGCGCGATAGTCCCGAAGACTATGAGGCCGCAATCGATGACAGGACTAAAGCTATATACCTAGAGTCTATTGGCAATCTCAGTAATAGTGTGTCGGATTTCGAGCCATTGCAGAAGTTGCGCACCGTCATGGAATCTATTTGATTGTAAGTCGAAAATTAGATATCCGCCTGGCGGGACGGGGTGGCGGTAGTAACTCATTTGTGATAACAAGGCCGATAATACGTTCGGTGCTGGTGGATACTTCCTCCGATCGATCGAACACGGCGCTGACATAGTGGTTCATTCGGCAGCCAAGTGGATTGGCCGCCACGGAACTGCCATGGGCGGCGTCATCGTCGACACGTTCGCTATATTCCTACCCCAAGAGCACAATAGCTATCGTCACGGACACAGGCAAGAACTGAATCCTCACTAACAATATCTCGCCTCTTCTTCAAGAAGCTGCCGGCTTGAATGGGGTAAGAATGTAGCTAGGTTCCCGGATATTGTCGAGCCTGCCCCAGGCTGCCATGGACTCAAATTTGGGAGACCTCACCTTCATCGTCCGAGCACGGATTGAAATCCTCCGCGACGTGGGGGCCTGACTCAATCCATTTGGCGCCCAACAGGTTATCCTGGGTCTGGAGACCCTCAGCCTACGCGCCGAAAGTCATGCTTCAAATGTGCTGGCCCTTGCGCGTTTCCTTGAGGCATCCCCTCATGTGAGCTGGTATGCAACCTACAAGGCATTCCGGATCATTCTCGTATCCAGGCTTTCTGGCCTCCGCCAGCACAGAAGCGTGGCTGACCCTACCCCCCCGTGGAATAATAGGGTTTCGTATCCTGGACTGGAGAACCACCCAAGTCACTAGGTCTGCAGCGGCCGTGGCTTTGTCGTGCCAGCCACCGATATTGATCTGGAAGATGTGCTGTTTACGAAAGTAATGCCTTTGGCGTCGTGGCAATGGTACAATCATTTGGAAGCCTCTTGATCCCCGCGCGAGGCCTTATGATAAACGTTTCGCCAGCATCGGCAGCTGTGCCTTACGTTTTTGGATCCGTATACGCGAGTAGCAAGGCCACCACACTAGCAAACTATTCCCGTATATTACGGCAGGAACTTCGGCCTCTCGGCGCCCGCCGTGCGCAGTAACATGGGCAATGTAGACGTGATTAAGGGTTTCCTTCCGGAGGATAGTCTGTACGCCCCAGTCCAGCACTTGTACGAGGCACGCCGTGGTTATTCAAAGAAGACGGCGGGTCCCATTCCTGCGGAGGTTTTTGCCCGCAGGTTGGTGGGAATCGTGCTTAGTCCTGAGGTACCACTATTTTGGAGGACATGGTTCGGACGTCATGATTGGATCTGGCTTGGTGGTATGGCACTTCTACTTTACTGGGCTACGTTTCTGGGCGAATGGCTTTTAGACTGGAGTTCTTGGAGGAGATTAGGGCTACGTGAGCTGGAAGAAATGGTCATAAAATTCGCAGCTTGGAAGTAGGTGGTGCATCGGGAAGGCAAACACAGAAGCGTCCACACGAGATTCCTTGGAAGCAAATATATTGAACGGCCCTTGATTCTCCTAGGCTACCCCTGTCCTTGGAATGGGTTTTATACGTCGCCAGGCGCCCCGGCTGAATTAATGGCTAGTTATAGCAGGCATCCACAACCCCAATACCAGCTGCACCCACCTAATCTACCAAGAGCCAGTGTTGGGATCGTAAGAGTCAGCACCTTTACCCGTCTCACAGGATCCCTGGGCACATTTGTCTTTCGGAATCATCAATAGAACCTGTGGCATTGCCTCTGTCGGATGGCCTGATGTAATAAAAATACTCGATAAATTATAAGCAACTCGACGCGGGCTACCGAGGTACGGTACACCCAAACTCTCGGGTTCTCACCACCTGCCGTCGTCAGTTTCGTTCGTTTGGCTTTGGCCGGCCCCATGGCCGTCTTGGCGTGAGCGCTGCGCCGCATCCAAATAACGTAATTTCCGCAACTATTACCCCTATCAGCGGCTCATCTCAACGCCGATCCGGAACGAGATACGGCTAGGACGCGTATAGCCAAGACCAGATTCTGCCTCACTCGACCATAAGTATTTACAGGTCGAATGGATGAGAATAGTGTATCAGCCCTAGATATTGACCCGTCACCGCATAGACATCATTGCATTGCACTCCATCCTGGCAATCCTAGATTTCCGATCCTTCCGTTCAAGACGTATATATCAAGCACAGTCAGTAGATTATTTTAAAGATTAGCATCCTTTTCCCCTTCAGAATACCATCAATTTACCATCATTCTTCCTGCGTCTAGTAAACAGTTATCGACCGTCATGTCTCCTCTACTCTATCTCCATTTCGTTTCCCTGCTCCTCGCTCTAATATCCCCGACGAATCAGTCCAGACCGTCAACCCGCCCGCAATGCAAGGTCATTCCCGGCGATGCCGGCTGGCCCACCGAGCGAGAATGGAATCATCTTCAGAATGGACTCGGAGGACGGCTCCTGCAGCCAACTCCTCCCGGTGCTGTTTGTCATGCAGAACAGCCCGTTTATGACCCCGAGAAGTGCTCCAACATCACCGCCGAATGGGGCCAATATGAGACGCATGTCTCCGACCCCGTCTCGGTGGTCTGGAATCAGTACACAAATGATACCTGCCTGCCTAATCCCTCGTTTCCTTGCAGCTCTGACGGTTACCCCTCCTTCGTCATTAATGCGACGATGCCTGAACACGTAAAGCTCGGTATTGATTTTGGTGCGTGACGAGTTCCGTCGAGATTCTTAGGCATGATGCTAACTACATATATCAGCTCGCAAGCACAACATTCGGCTGATAGTCAAAAACACCGGACACGACTACCTGGGTCGCTCCATTGCTCCCAACGCGCTGTCGATATGGACCCATCATATGCAGTCGGTCAAGACGCATCCGGACGGCTTCAAGCCCAAAGGCTGCTGGGACACCATCCCCGGCACCGCAGTCACGGTGGGCGTCGGAGCACAGATGCACATGTTATTCACATACCTCAATGCTCTCAATCAAACCATGATTGGCGGATCTGGGAAGACTGTTGGTTTGGGAGGATATATAACCGGTGGCGGACACTCACCATTATCCCCGAGATACGGTTTAGCGGCCGACAATGTGTTGGAAATGGAAATGGTAACTCCGGCCGGCGAAATCGTGACTGTGAATGAATGCCGTTACCCAGACCTCTTCTGGGCCTCGAGAGGCGCAAGTCCCATCCTGTTGGTTTCCCTATTTTACTTTTCCTGTGTTGCTAACGGCTGAGTAGGGCGGCGGCTCAACGTTTGGTGTCCTTACATCTGTCACAGTTCGAACCTATCCCAGCCCAAAGGTTCTCGGGATGGAGTTTGTGTTCATGATGGAGGCGGATCAGACCGCGATTTTCGATGTTGGCGCCTATATCCTGAGCCAGTTACCTGAACTAGGCGACAACGGATTGTCGGGTTATGTCTACGTCGCGCCGAGGATGGAGAACCCAGTGCCTACTCCCGGCGCACCGGAGGAGATTGCCGCAGTCTTTGGTGTCCTCGTACTCCAAGACACGAGCGACGACGACGACATCTTGAAACTCTGGAGCCCCGTAAACAATACAGTCCATTCACGATGGCCGGGAATGGTTGAAAACATCCAGCGACTCACGGCCTTCGGCTCTTACAGTGATTGGCTTGAATTATATTACGACAACCGCGGCTCGGGTGTTAACTCATATGTTTCCTCTCGACTTCTAGATAATCTGGCCCTTACCAGCAACTTATCTGCCCTTGCAGATGCAATCAAGTCAACCACTGATGTGGCCGGTCGCTTCACTGGATTCCTCGTATCAGGACAGGGAGTTAGGGACGCTCCGATCCGAGGAGGAGGGAATGCAGTCCCTCCCGCATGGCGAGACGCTTATGTCCTCACGTGTACGCGCTTGAACACTTGTCTTCTTGTCGTTGGTGCGCTAAGCTGACCACCCTCCCCTTAAGTCACTTCCTCAGAGTTTGCGCCGCTCAACGATACAGCAGAGGCACAGGCCCTTCAGAAACTCAAGGACGCTGCCATCAACCCGTTGCGAGAGATTGCGCCAAATACCGGAGCATACCTGAACGAGGTAAGATCCCTCTCATGTATTATTAGGAGATTGATTGAGATTCTCATGCGAATAACAATATTTATTAAAGGCGTCTCCCTACGAGCCCGACTGGCAACAAGAATTCTGGGGCGTGAATTACAAGCGCCTCGTAGATATTAAGCGCCGTGTCGACCCTCAAGATGTGTTCTGGTGTTCTGTCTGTGTGGGTAATGAACGCTGGCGCGAAACAAATGGCAGACTTTGCCACGTCTGAGACTCGAAAGCTCACGTCTTGAGGTACCTATGCAATTTTTTTTTTTTTAAGTTAGATCAATAGTAAATGTATCACTCTTCTGCACTATCTCTCGTTTTACACCCCTCTTGAATAGACTTACTTCTGATAGATGTTACGACAGAAGTCTCAGTGGGAGAACTACCGTTGCTAGAAGTCACGATGTCAGTTCTGGCAGTCGTGAGAAGTGCCAATGTATGGTCCAGTATTAAGAGTGTAAGAAGTGATTGATTCACTACCTCATTTCTGCATGGGAGAAGTTCTTCTATAACTCTTTTATATGGGGTTCTGTCCCTAGTAGAACTGGCGCTGCCAGTTCTCACCTGTGCCTGGTTAGTTCTGTCGGCTGGTTCTCAGCTGGCAGTTCCTTTTTGCGTGACAATAGACTTATTGCTAGTACAACTAGCCTTCTCTCATCTGTCCCGCTTCATCGCTTCCGACGAGATTATTAGAGGGAAGAACGTGGCTGGCTTCATTTGTCACGGAATCGCCGGTTTCCCCCGGAGCCAGCGCATCAGGAGCCGTCCCGACAAACTCGACATTCGTTGGGGGCTTGTCCTGGTAAGGCTGCGCTTCAGGGAGATGGGCTGGTTCCTGCACGACCTCGAGCCCCCCTTTCAGCGGGAGTTATGGACCGATCGGCATACCTCGGAGGAAATCCGTTAGCCGGCCTTGCAACAGTGCAGTGTTTGACTGTTGAAAAGAATTTGGAGTCGGGTTTGATCTAAATCAGAATATATCTGATATCAGATGAAGAGGAAGACCAGCGCCTGCATGGAACAGTTCCTACGAAGGGGAGACAATGGTGCGACCGGAAGGACAGCAGTTCATTATTTCTCAAAGACTAACCTTAAGAACGCACCTCGGGCCGACCGTGGGACTTTCACCTGCAGTCGCGATTCTAGAGATCTTGAGATTTGCCCGGAAGTAGAACTCTCGGTACTAGGAAGAGTACGCTATGATAGAGGGTCCACGTCCACCAGTCTTGAATTTCACGTTGTGCGACCTTGGAAGCGTTCATTTCTGCGGCATTGTTACCAGCATCAGGCTTCGGAGCGGTCTGGCGCTCCAGTCTGATAAAATAGGTTGATTGCGTTGACCAGCTCCCGACAGACTCGAAATTCCCATAGCTTCCTTCACCACCTCCGCACCTAGTCGATGGCTGGCTACTGGACATGTTGCTCAATGCCATGCCGGCGCTCCAAACTTGACAGATGCACCAGGATCCTCTGCATCCCCCACCGCGGCGCCGTAGCTAGTCAGAGCCATTGCTCCAGTCTCTCTTGATCAAGTCCGCAGCCTTCTCGGCAATAGCATAAACGGGCCCGCATATATTGGAGCCGACAATGATGCTCATAACACTAGCATCAACGACTCGTAGGCCGTCAACACCATAAACCCTAAGATCCTCATCCACCACTCCCCCTAGTTCCAACGGGAGCATGGCACACGTACCGGAGGGATGCATCGCGCTCGGTTCCGTATTGTCGCGCAGGTACTCGATTAGGTCTTCTCGCGATGTGATATTGGTACCCGGGGCCACTTCAACCGGGTCGAATTGGACGAGAATAGGAGACTCAAGATTGACGCGCCGGTGGAAGCGCATCATCTCGATTGTGAGGTCCAGGTCGACGGGGTTGCTATACGTGCGGTAGTCGACGACCGGCTCGGATGCTGGAGAGGAAACGTTAATGTTGACGGTTCCGGTGCTGAGGGGGTGCTCGAACGTGAAGTAGAACACAGGCTCATCGCCTGAGAAGTAATGGCTGTAGAAGATGGTATTCTCAGATCGGATCGCGTCTGCGAGTCGCGCCAATCGCGCCTGGTAGCCTGCGACCACTGTCGGATGGGTGCCCTCGGGTAGGTAGTCCGCTGCGTTTTGCGCGTCGGCCTTGGCCGCAATAGCTTCAAATTCGGACGGCGATACAGCTGGCATCCCAAGCCAAGCTCCAGCGTTCCAAAGTCCGATGGACCAGGGCCCGGTTCGATTAGCCTCCCAGAGTTCATCGGCCCATGCACGGAATCCAGGGTCATTGAAGTCGTCTCTGTGGTTGGGACGAAGAGTATAATTCCTGTCTACCAAAATCTCAACTACCAATCAAGCTTGAATTCACAGGCAACCTGAAGGGTACTTACACTCAATGGGCTGGCGGACTGCGGTGTGGTCGTGGAAATTCTGTCCGACGCCGGGTAGGTCAATCTTGGTCTCTATACCGGCCTCTTTGAGTAGTTTGCGAGGTCCAATACCGCTAAGCTGTAGGATTTGCGGGCTATGGATCGAACCGGCCGAGAGGATGACTTCCCTCCTTGCCCTGACTGTAGTTAGCTCTGCCTCCTCCTCATCCCTTGGGCGGAACGCGACGCCGACTGCTTTGTTCTCTTCTAGCACAATGTTGGTAACCTTTGACCCGGTGATAAGGTCATAGTTGTCGCGGTCTAGATTATCCCAGTGGCCAGTTCGCGCGTAAGACCTGTTGACGGACACTTCGCCGTCCACTAGCATTTCAGTCAGCTCACTCTCCTTGACGTGAATTGGACTAAGAGTTACGCACTAAACGTGGGATACCAATACACGCCGGCCTTTCCAACCCCACTGTCACTGGGGACCTCGACTCCGGGTAGGGCCGTGAAAGCCTCAAACTGATATTCTGAGGCGCAGTCAGCGGAATGGAACCATACTTTTGGGTTCTACGAAGGTATGACGAACTGATTCCAGGCCACTGGAATGAAGGCCATCCTGCATAAATTTTAGAAGTCATGCCCCAGTAACTTTCGTCATATTGCAATCCCGGCATATCATCTAGGACCTGCTTCGGAGGGTGCTGGAAATGCAAAGCCTACGTTGGGTCATGTTAGTATACGCAGACCGGCCTTAGCCCGCCTCTGGCCCCAAAGTGTTGTCTTACTTTTTTGAAATATGGTAGCATTCCCTCCCAACTCCACGTCGAACTCTCGCCAAAGAAGCTGCCCCAGCGATCGTAGTCCTCGCTGGTGCCGCGTATAGACTGCATGCCGTTCACGGCAGAGCTCCCGCCAACCATGCTGCCAAGGTAGAGAGGGACTTGTGCATTGTTCAGCTCCTTGTTGGGGGCGGATGTGATGTTGTAGAGCCACCACGGTTCCAATTCCCAGACGTGGTCCCGGACCAGATCGATCTGTTCTGAGTTGACTTTGAAGAGCTGCGTGAGTAAACATCCCATGTACATCACGAGCCGGGGGAATTGAATGAGTGAGATGCTTACCGAGCTCGCCATTCTCTATGACGAGTACAGTTACTACATAGTATTTTAGGTTAACAGCTGCGGATGGTAGAGTGACAGCAGATGAAGATACCTTCCGCATCCTCACTCAATCTGTCACCCATAGTTAGCCCGGCGGTTCCACCTCCGACAATAACGTAGTCGTAGACTTCATCAATGCTGCTAGGCTCCTTCAACACACGAACAAAGTTGTTTCGAGGTTTAAATGCGGAGGGTTTAGCGGAGTGTATACCTGGGGCGAAACAAGCACCGAGGAGAATTCTCGAAATCTTCGCCATCTCTAACTCAATCTAGACTATCAAAGCAACTTGATTGAGACCGACGATGATGAGGGTCGCGCAACTCTCCGCGTAAATAAAGTCGAAGATCACTCAAAATTACTAATCTCATCTTGGATGTAACTTCACATTCGAACAAAAGGACCGGAGATAATTCTACGTCATTCCGACCTGTGGGTGAGACTTGGCTGCATCAATTCCTCGGGCCGTTGCTCAAAACGCGGGTCCAAAACCGGTTTTATGCTAGGCAGGCCAAGCAAGTCTCAGTGGTGCTTGCTTCCGCCCAGCAGAAGGGCACAATCGCATTTAACCCGAGGCGATGCTCCTGTCACGACATCTTCAGTAGGTTTGGCTTGGAGAGAGACAGCAAGGACCGCAGGGACCCCGGCCCCCAACAATACCAAGCAACGCGGAGAAAGTGCAGGCTATGGCTGAAGAGGTGAACCAAGGGGGAAGGAAGAGGCGCCTTCCGGCGAGGAAAACATTACGTGGGCGCATCTTCCCAGCTGCGTACCATATTAGCCAGGATGTGATACGGTGCTTATGGGAATGGGGATGTATAAGGGAATGCAGTGGCCAGTGATGCATCAACCCCGCTCAGGAGTTGCATAAACCCCAGTATCTCCGTCCATTCCATGCGGCGGTGCTGCCAACTTCGGCAACAGCCCAATTTCTCCCGACTTGGACGTACTTCCAACCTCCAACGTGCCCTGATTAGCAACCTCGGTAATTGCAAGCGGGAGACCCTGCCATGAACGGATATGAACATATTCGTGGAACATTAACCGCTGACATTTATGCTGACTGTCGTTCAAGCAGTAATAAAATTTGCCGACTTGGCTGACGATCTCGGTCAATGAGTTGGATGTCGTCAAGTCCAAGCAAAGAGTAGACGAAATTCGCCCACGTTTCTTCAACTCTCGGCTATCTGCAGGGTGAAAGTTCTGTATCCGTGTGTTTAGTTGCGGCATCGTCTAGGAACGCTGCCTGTCCAGCACCGCACACCGCTGGCTTCAACGAATTACGATCTATCATTCCCTGAATGTAATCACTGAGGCTCCTATCTATCAAATGGACCGCGGAAGGCTAGGTGATGAAACAAGTGCGCCGGTTAATAATCCCTATCCCTTTTCTTGGAGACCGAAGATGGGGGCGGTCGTCATTGAACAAGGGCTGCCAGGTCGCGTCATTCATGTTTGTTGCTAACTCAGACGAAAGCGGGGAGTGGTATCTGGGTATTAGTTGAGGAGACGTCAAGGAGAGAGCAGTATTGCGGTTGCCAAACTCAATCGGCAATGCGAAGAAGGTGAAGTCTCTGCGGGAGACTACAAGTGTATATTAATGTTTAATCATCACCTGCCATCCTCCGCGGGAGCCGCGCCTCATCATATCACCACACAATTACGATACCCAACCATCTCAAGGCCATATCATACCCAGACATCCAAGATGTAATTTGCGGCGGTGATACTCTCCTTGGACGGTGTTAGTTGCAGTTCCCGGAGCAAAGACAGTCCTCCGTCGTGAGACACGCGAACGTTACGCTCAAGCTGGAGGCCTGCGTAGATACCTGTCCCAGCAGTGACTGGGGATGCTCTCTGAATTAGTCAGTCAGTCTGGATTTTGTTCGGATAACACTTTTAGATAACACCTAAGAGGGATTCCAAACCTACTGGCTGACATTTATACAGCTCGCTTGTCGCTGCGGGAGAATATATCACCTGCAATGGATGTCCATAGATTCATCATCCAAGGTGTCATATTTGCTGATAGAGGGTATCAGCACTTACTCTGTATCGTCCTGGCTTCACCCATTACCATTTGCTATTCCTCGGTATGGGACATATGGTTTTCCGTCTTCGAGCCACAAACTCGGAGGCCAGTTGACCGCCTCTGCCTGCCTAAGGCTCCGAAGTTTCTTGCTGTCAGCCACATTCAATGCGAGCTGACAACATCAATCTTACGGATCATATCGCGCTATATGTCAGCTATGCGTAGCGCGAGGAAAACACCTTCGAGTATGGGTTACTCGGCACAGCTTAGCCCGCAGCGCCGAGGGCATGGCGCCGAAAGCAACTCGGCAGAAGCAAGTGAGCCTCGTCCGAGCAATCTCACTAGGATACGTTCATGGAATATGGCTTGAGCTCCAATAATTGATCTTCTTCTCCTTGGAACCAACGGTTGGTTGTAACTTGCAAGTTCTCATTACCGAAAACACGAAAAGAGTAAGAGCTGTGACTGGTGAGTAGGCCGAGGTTTACAGACATCCATCCGTCTACGGTTGGAATTCTTGCGAGTGTCCTACGGCTTATTTTCATGAAGAATATTGGTAGGAATTAGTTTAACCACCACACGGGTAACTGAAGAGCTTCAACAGTCTAAGAGGAGGACAAAGCCTTATGGAAGTATTGCAAAGTTGTGTTACTGAATTTCTGCCGGCATCATTCCAGTTTAAGGACAACCATAAGTTGAAAGAATAATTCTCGACTACGAACCGAAATAGACCATCTCAAGAGCGTCCTCTTGAACCATCTTAAGTTCCTGCCCCCGAGACGGAGATAAGCTAGTATGCGGGGCTACAACTTGAGCATTCCCAGAATTCGACCAGCACTGGCTGGTTTTCCCCACGCACTACAGTATCGACTTGGCCTTCATAAATGCTCCGAGGAGGTTTCTTTGGTTAACTAGTGTACGTTGCAGGAATCGACTGGGGCGTTTGGTGAAAGAATTATCAAGGCGAGAGTTCCGGAGCTTTTGGCCCGTAAAACGTTAAAGAGCTCCAGCGTACTAAAGAGGTCTCGGGTATTATCTGGGCTAGTGAGATAGATAAGCAGCAAACCTGAAGAGGCGGAGGAGTGGCTTGCCATGCCAGATGTCTGGTAATTATACTCAATACGCGGTTGCCACTGTGGCACTGGAATGGTGCCTCTTGCCTGGTGGTTTGCTTTCTTGGTGTGAGGGGACCGCCGGCTGATGCAACCCTGGTGCAATGCTGAGCCAAGGTCCAATGTTGAGCCAAGGACCGCTCTTCGGGCTTGGAGTCTTGGGCATTGCAACGAGAAGTTATTTTGCTAACTTTTTCTGGCCATGATCCATGATGTTTAATTTCACGACACGTGACGAGGCCTATGAAAACAAACCGGTCCTGGTTATTGTGTAGCACTCCTAAAAATCACCAGACTCGGCCAGGCCAGGGGTGTAAGACGCGGCGCAACAAATGCCCGACTTCTCTTCATGGTGCGAACGGTGAAGAAGACGCCTTCCCCACAACGCTAACCTCAACTCCTGCGAAACCTCACCCGATCCGGAATCCAGTCCCCTTCGAGATGCGACGACTCAAAGCGTTGGCCCAACTTCTGCTCGCCGGGGCGGTCTCCACCCTCGAATACCCCGCAACGGTTGAGCTCGACCTCGTTTTCCCTCGAAACGACACCTACAATAATCTAACATCCTTCCCTGTCGTCCTTGCGGTCCAAAACGCTGAAGCAGCCTTTGACTGGGGCTACACGTTTTCTTGGGATATTAGGGGACCTGGCAGCAATAATCTTGCCGCGACGGGAACAGTCTATCAGAGCGGCGACAGCCCCGTGCCTCCCGATTCCGTCGACAATGTGTGGGTCGTGTCGGACACTGCGGTCAATGTGACAGTTTTGAGAGCGGGGACGTACCGATTCGAATGGGAGTGGTCGTCGACGAGCTGTCTTGAGTCCGGAAACCGCATAACTATTCAAAGCGGCGTGTCAGCGAGCGGTAAAATGCATTTTAGCGTCGTCACCGACGGCAGCGGCGCCAACTTCACCCAGGCGGCTTTGACAGGCGAATGCCCAGTTTACCAAGATCGTTTCACATCTGGCCGGTCTACGGATGCCGGATGCCCTATCAGGACAGCTAAGGAACCCGACGAGGAGCCAGATCCGTGTCGAGCGAGGCTGGACGGCACGATGGCCGCATGCGTCGTGGCCAATTTGACAGGTGAAGGAGATGGCAGTGCATGTGTGAAACTGCAGGCTGGAGGTGGAAATGGAGCCGATAAGGATAATATGGGCTCAAGGCAGATTGGCTGGGATATTCTTACCCTCGCGGGAGCAGCCTTTGCCGCTGGACTTTACATTTTATAGCAAGCGCCTTGGCCTTTCATCACCCTTGGATGGATATCTCTGGTAGGCATATGAGCCGTATCATCTGGGTCCTGGATGGAAGCCAGGAGGTTTCTGCCCAACTGTGTGGATCAGTGTGGTGCTCAGGGATTTCGGGGACCAGTTTGGATTGTCCGACCGGGGAGCTGAGGGAAACGGGTCGAGACCTCGACCGAGGCCGATTGCGTGCGACATGTACTCGCTGCTGGTTGTGAACTATTCTTTAGGCTTGCATTTTAATATTACATGACTTATTCAAAAGAAATACATACACAGCCGTTCTCCGTCCGCCTATCCATGAGGTGGCCCGACTCCGACAGCACCCAATTACGGCCCCCTAAATATTGGGAATGTAATATTAGAGACGCAACGCCTTTCACCAGCACATTGCTTTGTATCCTCGGGGGTGGTGCGCCGGGTCGGGAGCGAGCTGGAAAGTAAAATCGAAAATCGAATTTCTCTCCCTTTAAATGTTGAATGGAACATCTCCCTTACGTGGGAGTGTGCTCGGAGTTCCAATCACATTACGAACAAGGTTGGAGACTGATTAAACGGCAGGGATGGTATGCCTTTTAACTTAGGTGGCGTTGGAAGTGAAGAACCAGTCAATATCAGCACGGAAACCATATCTATCAGAATGAGGCATCCTGATATTCAAACTCTTCTTCTGCACATGCCTGAATAGCCCGGGGTCCCTTGAAAGTATTGACGTGGCACTATGACCGTCCATTTGGCGACCTGGGATGGCCCAGTACATAATTGGGCATGAGCCTAACCCAATATTGTATTAGGTGTGGGACTACTAATCCAGTATACCGTTAGACATGACTTGTAACAGAATGTTGATTACTGACAGGGTGCCATAATTGCGAACGGAGAGGGCTCTCACTCACGTTCGGGATTTCATGGGGATTAAACCACAACCTCGACAACCCCGGAATACCTCTTCAGACAGACCCATGAACCAGGGCTATACCGACTCCGTGTTAGAAAAACGTGCATGACACATCACCCATCACCCATCGCCCATCGCCATTTGCTCTCAGAACTATGACACACGCACCTCTGCAGCCGCCCCTTTCTCGTAGTCTCGGAAACGGTTACCGCTAGTACAGGGGTTGTGTTCGACTTGAAAGTGGATTCTATCGGGGCCCGGACCGTAGCAGACGGGGAGATGAGTGAAGTTGCCATAAAACGTGTTCCACCAGCTTCCACGCACAATCTTGTATCCAGAGCGGGGATGAGGCCAGCCACCTGGTTCCTTGACGTTTTCGCCTCCATGATGCGCTTCGACATTCCAAAGATACTCTATCAGGAAATGTGAATAAAAGTCCTTTGGGTTATCATCGAGGGACTCTAGACACATCGGAGTTCAGGATCACTACTGCTCGTCTGGTCCAGCTAGCCACGATTAATGATGTGGGCCCTAGAGATGCCTAGGAACCACCAGAAACTCAACGAATTTGGTCCAACGAGCCCGCAAGTTGCGATCTTCATGCATGCAAAGTCTCCAACGACAGCTCACCACGAGGCCTACCAAGCAGAGCAGATCGGCGAATACCCAAACTATCTTCAAGCAAGTTTTTTCTTGCATGCTACTACGGCCTTTTCCCGCAACGTACAGGAGCAAGATGTGATACAAGTCGCAATGGATATCTTATCCCGCACAAGAGGTCGGCGAAGTCGCCGGGATCTACCCATTCCAACACACCGCTGCAGCAGGGGGGCCCACTACAGCGAACTCACTTGCCTTTAGCGTCATTGCTTCAGCTGATTTTGTAATTCCCTTACCACGAGATCTTGAATCGAGGTTGAAGCAACAACGTTAATAGGACAAAATAATCTCTCCGAGAGCCCGCGTTCTCTCAGTGGGCCCGCCGGTTGCGTGGGCTACAAAAACGAGACGGCCATACGAGTCGTTTTTCAGGTGCCAATGAAGCCGCCACTCGGGAAGTACTTAATGAAGGATTCCTTCGCGTTTGTCGGCGTGTAGCATAATACCATACCCGAGAGTCCCACCCCGGTCGACTTGAGAGAGTGTAGGGAGTGGGGACTTCGTCAAGTCCAGCGCGAATCCGAGGATCATTGCTTCGGGATCTGCAGTGTGTATGAGTATACACAAGCCGGTACTGCCGGGTCAACCATGACGATTTCTTTGCTCCCTCTTTTTACGGGGGCACCTGCATGCGACCAACCTATCGTGCTAGTTAGAACATAGAGAAACACTCTCCACTGTCGGGTTTACGTCACATGGCCTTCCAAGTACTAGGAGCAACATGGAATAGGCTTGCAAGGTAATTTTACTTTTGGAGGGTAATTCGGGGAGGATGACCTGCATCCTTTGGTAAAGGGGGAGGGAACAAAATACGTAAGGCCATATGCGTAAGATCCTTCTCCGTTTCATCTTTGTACGCATTTGTCGACGCCATGCAACATTGCATCACACCGCTATCAGATCTAACTGCAGGGAGTCCCTCTAACGCCTCACAGCACGGGCCGCCAGAGGGCACCAGTGGACCGAGGGGGTCTCGGGACCGGCCGCAGAAGACCGAAACTAACACGGTATGGCATGTGTTGCAACTGCCGGGCAAGCGAAGACTGACTCAAAGTCAACTAGAGAATGCCTGCAGAAGTGAGTGAATCCCGTCCCAGCTGAAAAGGAATGGACTGGTAGTGGGGACTAGTAAGGGAGCCCAATAGGAGTCTTCCAGTAGGGACCTACTGGGGCTAAGCGAGCCGAGGAAAAAGCACAGTGAAGCTGGGCAAAAGGAAGGGGCAAAGAGGAGCTCTATAATAGAGGCGGTAGGGCACTATTATTATTACTCGAGGACTAAAGTAGGCCATAATGGAAGGATTCCCAGGAGGAGTCAAGAGGAGATGAATCAGTGATTAGTGACACTCCAATACTACACTGCCTTCAGCTATACCTGTTTTACTGTTGCCCCATAGTCTTTGGCACGACCGCGTTTACACGACGATACCATGCTTCTTGTTAGTCGCCCCGGAGTTAATTATTTCCAGGACTGACCTCAAACCCACTGGCCCCTACGTCACTACTGAGGCACCAGCCCATCCGTGCCGTTTCCATGGCATGGCCCAGAGAAATATTAAGAGATTAATCAGGCTTTGTATGTCAATCAAGAAGACTAATGACAAGGTTCTCAGTCACCTTTGGGTTTCGACTGCGTTACATGTAAGATTTGACCGTTAGGCCAGAAATCGAGCAACATGCCAATCTTCCATAGAAGCTCACAATTTGGTGCTAAATCTGTCATTTCCGACCTTCCAACATTACACTCCTACTGCATCGTAGATATTCCCAGCTCTGGCGTTGAAAAAGGGAACCTAAATAACAATGTTCAATCTAATGCGACCACTGTTAAGAGCCCGGTCCTCGCAAAGGTCGGTCAGGGGCATCGCCCAAGCCTGGTGCAAGAATAGATGCCTGGCATTTGTCGAGATCTCTGGGCGTAATTCAATGATTGATGATGAATAAGATGGTCGCTTAGCTTCCCGGGGTTTATCCGGACTCTGCCTCATATCTCAGGTTTACAACGAGCGCTATGTTTACGACCTGGCGTGGTTAGCCGCCGAGCTTGTTCCATGGTTGGGTTGGGTCATCAAAGCAAAACCAGCAGCCGATTATGGCTTCCGCCCGTGAGGAGGTAAGAAGCACACTGGCTGTGATTGAAAGCCTTCAGCTGCCGCACCCCTCAAATCTATTACTCTCTTCGTTTGTCTCCGAGGCGCTAGATCCTCTCGTGGCAGCCCGCTATGTGAAGGATAGACTCTCGACGGACGGAGGTCGTTCCCTAGTTTCCGATTGGGTCTACATTGTTGAATCGAGTATGTCTTACGCCTTGGACTATTGCTATTTAAAGCTCGTTGGTGTGGGGTCGACGTGACGCTAACTTCACCAGTCACGCTAAATGCCACCCCGCCGCCACAACCGTCGGCCAGTACCACCAAGGAAATCACTCGACGCGATGGGCAAAGGTGTTGCGTGAGCGGAGGTGCTGGAAGTCTTTTAGACCCTCTCATAGTTGGTCCTATTTTATGTGTTCCTCGAGGGTGGCTGACGGAGAAGGTAATATGTTTGCTTGCTTCCTTTGACGAATCATCAAAGCGACTCTGGTGTCAGTCAGCACTGACGATGCTGGGCCGAAGCGCGAAATTCTTGATATGCTTCGGGCCTTTTTTAGCCCACCGTACCTGGACTGGTGGCTTGATTACGCCGAAAATCCTGCTAGGGTGCCGTCTTTTCGCAACCACTGGTTAATTCGGAAGTCCGTTTCTGCCGCATATGCGCGGGGACTCCTTCGGCTCGACAGATTGTTGCCATCAATGGTCGAGGTGAGTTGAATAGTTGAAACTTATTGCATCCCCCAATCCCACCCCCAGAAGCTTGGCCCCTTAATGATGCTTCAATGGGTCCCCATTCGATTTCCTCAACTGATACACTACATAGTATGAGGTTCATCATGTCTCCTTAGGCCCAGAGGAGCCCATTAACTTGGAGGGATCCTACCCACTATTAGGCGATCATTCGCGATCCGGCCTTGCAAAAGTCGACCCTCGGTTTGTCGACACCCATGCTCGGCTGAGCCGTAGCATGCGGCTTATCGAACTTGCCGGGAAGATAGCGCCAGAGATTCTGTCGAAATCACCGGAACAGCCAGATGATTCGCTACCGCAGGCGCCTCCTCGGGAACAACGAAGGTCTCTATCCCCTGGACTTCAGCCGGAGAAGAATCGACGCTTCTCTGTGGCGAACGTCCTAGGTTCCTGCCTTCTCCCCCTTTGGCTCGTGTTTCCGAACAAGGTTCGAGCGATTGTCTATAACGCATTACGAAATCTCGGAAAATACCTCTACGGGCGCAGTGATTCCTTGACGGTCCAGCGGTTGCCGTTTGGCCTTTACTTGAAGTACCATGGTGATCTTCCGCTGTACGATAACGAAAGGAAGGCGTTACAGACCGTTCGCCAGCATACGACAATACCGGTTCCGGCACCGCTTGATGTGGTTGAGGTCACGCCTGAGGACCCCAATGACCGATACTCCTTTTCCAACGGCTACATGCTCATTACTCGGGTCCCAGGAATTCCGTTATCCTCATGCCAGGACATCTTATCTGACCAAGACTTTGAGCACATCGGTTACCAAATGAAGGACTACCTGTCTCAGCTACGAGATATCCCCAAGACGGTCAATCCCGGGATGGCCATCTGCAACACCCTTGGCGAAGCGTGTAGGGACGCCCGTGTCTGCGGAGACGCGCCTGTTGGGCCGTTTGCGGATGAAGCCGCTTTCAGCCAAGTCCTCCGTTTCTCCGATGATCCGAGCCGTCGTGGGCATCGAATTTTCTTCACGCACGCTGATCTTAACCCGCGAAATATCCTGGTCGACAGGGTCGTTCGTCGGGACGGAAGACCCGGGTGGCAGATATCCGGAATTGTGGATTGGGAGATGGCGGGCTACTATCCCGAGTACTGGGACTATACTAAGGCGCTCTTCGAAGGTTTCAGGTGGGGGAATCGGTATACAAATTGGGTTACTGCGGTGTTCTCGGCCTTTGGAGACTATTCCAGAGAGCTTGATGTTGAAAGGCGAAGTTGGGAATCCGGGGATGGTGTTTGAGGCTTGAACTGATTCGTTTCCCACGTCATGTTACGTAGTCACTTAGCAAAATACCCGACATCGATAGTTAGTGTTTATTGTTTATGATCACCGCTGCGGACATGAAGGAGTGATAGTTAGATTAGCAGTTTAACTTGTTCCAATCTGGGGCAAAGGATCTGGTGCCAAGCGTATTCCCGACATCGGGACGAAGGGGTATACAGTGCGCGTTTCTTCATTTAATGTCACTGCAAGGGCGCAGTGCAATTGCGGTCCCTTGCAGAGGAAGAGACTCTTGCTAAACCGAATCTGCCCGAAGCCCGAAGAGGCGATGCGATCGGAAGTTGAAAACGCCCATCCTGACTATCCCACATGAGTTATAACGTCGCGGTTCGGTTCAGTGCCGGCCCGTTTGCGGCCCGTACTCACATGGTAACATTCCATTCCTCCACAGCCGCGGCGATGACGTGGAACCCTTCGCCGTATCCCTCGCAAATCCTCGCGGCTCTCGCAGCTAGGCTTTGTTTGAGGCTTTCGCCTTCTTTCGCTAAGGGTTCCCCGAGGCACAAACACAGAAATGTGCGAGCTCGGGCAACATCTAGTCCCACTAGTTCGACGTGGAGCACGTTCGTGTCTTCCTCGAGAACAAATCAATCCCAGCTGGGAACTTGCCAGTGATGGTTAGCTACTAATATCCACAGTATTTTGACACACGAGGCCGGTCTAACCGTCGGACGTAGGGATCGAACCGGCTAGTGGGAGCGTCGGGGGACCTCACAAAACGGCCACATGCTAATCAAACTAAACCTGCCTGGAGGCCCTGCTGGGGGACTGTCGTCCAAGCCGAATTTATCTCTTGTGCCGCATGCTATGCATATGTGATCTTGACCTCACAAAGCTGAGCCTACTCCTCCGTGGCACCAGAACTCCAGCATAACTCATCCGCATCCAGGAACTCGAAAATCGAGTCAAGAACGATCTGGGTTGATTCGTTATATAAATTATGTCGCCGAACCTTAGAACAAACCCTTTTAGGCGTAACCTGACAAAGCCCCAACTCGAGGCTTCTGTTCTCCAATTTGAAGTGATATTGTTCTATCAAGTTGTCTAACCCCAGCATAAGAGGCACAAGGATAGGGGAGGTCTCGCTGCATAGTGATCGAAGTGAAAGTTTGGCTTACTGGCTGCCAGATTGCATTGGCACTTATCCCTCTTTGGAATCGCTCACCTTCCTTGCGATATTTCAGGATTTTCCCGTAAACGTTAATAGTAGGCAGCGGCTTCCCTTTCTGGGTTCCTAGTGAAATGGTGCCTCTGATCAACGGCTCCGGCCGTTTTTGCGCCTGCGGAAACAGACCTCCCAACGACGCCCGATCGGTTATTTTTATGGTCTCGAAGGAGGTGGTTCGTTTCCAAGTCACCGTCGCCTTACTAGAGGTGTCCTGATTCGGGCTAGCTTACCTCCCGGGCCGAGCACGGAGTGCTGATAAGGATCGGCATCGTGCCTCGGAAGCGGGGTAAGCGAGTACTAATAGTTCGCCATCTCCGGGCCGGCGGAGCTTTGTCACGGACATGATCTCCAATACCTTGCGTTATCCTACCTTGTTTGGATCGAGCTAAGTTACTAGGCCGTGATGCTTATGGTTCGAGTGGGGACTTTTGAGAGGACTTCATTTCTTATTCATGGGGTAAGAGGGGTAGCCACCGCCGTGCCAGAGCCGGACGAGTAGTTTCTCGTTTCCAGGCAGTTGGGAGGCTTGGCGGCGGGGTTGTCTAACAATACAAAAGGTCCTGTGAACAGAGGACGCGGGTATATTTAGTTGTCCTATCATCCATCACTTCTTATCTACGAAGTAGTTATCTGACCCCACGCCTCTTATCTCGCCCCCTGAGAAGATATAAGTTTGGCCTGCGAGCCTGTGTCGCTCAGGACTTGTTTTGTCCACCTGCATCAAAATCCAACATCTCGTCGTTATTCAACTTACATACCTACCCGTGGGAAAAATGACTTGGGAGAGTTTGGCCGCCAAGAAAAGGGCAAGTGTCGTTGACGCCATTCCACCAGAATGGCGGTTAAAGGAAGTTCCCTCTGGAGACTCTGTAATGTCGGTACCCAAGGAGAGCGGCATCCTGAGTTCAGAGGAGTTAACCATCACCGAATCCTCTGCTACCGACCTTGTACGAGACCTAGCTGCCGGAAATCGTACATCGGTAGCTGTTGCAACAGCATTCTGTAAGAGGGCTGCCCTAGCACAGCAGACGGTGAGATCCCATTAGCTTCTCGGCGATGAAAACTTCGGATTCCTAAATGTATTCTGACAACGAACAGGTCAACTGCCTTCATGACTTCTTCCCAGACTATGCGCTTGCTAGGGCAAAATACCTGGATGATTACCTCGCCAAACACAAGAGACCGCTGGGGCCCTTGCATGGGTTGCCTGTCTCCCTCAAGGACCAGTGTCGTATCAAAGTTAGTCCGCACCTCATCTTTCACTTGCCCGCATTTCTCTCTTTTCCCAGACATGGCACAAGGAAAGTGGAAAAAAAAAAAAAAAAAAAAAAAAAACTGACGATGAACTTCAGGGATTCGAGACAACAATGGGATACGCCGCGTGGATCGGTAAGACGGACGAGGAGAACTCGGTTCTTGTATCCCTTCTCGAGAACGCGGGTGCTGTGTTCTACGTCAAGACTAGTGTACCGCAGAGCTTGATGACATGCGAAACAATAAATAACGTGTTTGGTCGGACTGTGAATCCGCGAAATAAAAACTGGGCCCCCGGGGGTAGCTCTGGTGGAGAGGGTGCCATTCTGGGCTTCCGAGGAAGCGTACTCGGCGTGGGAACTGATATTGGTATGTCAGATATACCCACGATGTTCCATCCACTGAGGGATGACGTATGCTCAATGTTGCGTCAATATGAATATAGGTGGATCCATCCGTGTACCGGCAGCCTTCAACTTTTTGTACGGCGTTCGTCCCAGCCATGGTCGCTTGCCATACGCCAAGATGGCCAACAGTATGGAAGGGCAGGAGACAATTCACAGTGTTTGCGGACCTCTTGGACACTCCGTCGAGGACTTGAGGCTCCTGATCAAGGCCGTTCTCGCAGAACAGCCGTGGAACTTCGATTCCAAAGTGGTGCCTATGCCATGGCGTGGAGCCGAGGAAGACGCGGTCAAGGCAAAAATTGCATCCGGCGGCTTGACGCTAGGATTTTATTCATGCGACGGCAATGTACGCCCCGCCCTATCTTCCCCCGCTTTTAGGTGCAAGTCATTCTTAACTGGTATCACTAGGTCGTTCCCCATCCACCTATCCTTCGAGCGGTCCAAACCGTCGTTGAAAAGTTTAGGGGCGCGGGACATACCGTTTTGCCTTGGGAACCATACAGGCACCCATACGCGGTCAACCTAGCGAACAGAATTTACGCTGCAGATGGCGGAGCAGTAAGTTAATACGAGCCGACTTGGCGCCTCGGGCCACGAACTAAGAAGTTGAAACCAGGATATATTCGCAACGCTCAAGCTCTCTGGCGAACCTTCAATTCCCCACATTGCCGCGCTCGTTGATCCGAACATGAAGAAGGCTGATCTCAACGAAGTGTGGGATATCCAGCTCGAGAAGTGGAATTACCAAATGGAATATCTCGCTCGGATCCGAGAATTCGAGGCGAGCACCGGACGAGAGCTTGATGCTATCATCGCCCCTATCACCTGCACTGCCGCCATTCGACATGACCAGTTCAAATACTACGGATATGCCACTGCAATCAACGTCCTCGATTTCACCAGCGTTGTTGTCCCTGTCACATTTGCCGACAAGGCCGTCGATGTGAAGCCGAGCGATTTCGAACCGTTGACAAAGATTGATGCCGCTGTTCACGCAGAGTGTAGGTATTTTTATCCTCATATCATAACAACTTTCGCTGATATTTAATCGCCAGATGATGCCGCCGCGTATCATGGAGCTCCAGCTGCTGTGCAGATCATTGGGCGACGCTTTACGGAAGAGAAGATCATGGCCATTGCTGAGGAATTAGGTCGACTCTTAAACCAATAGTGGAACCAATTCCGTCTGCGGATATTAGCGAGTATCAGGAGGGTTGGGGAAAATGCTACAGGTAGACTTAGTTGAGACGGATTGTTAAGCGGGCTTGCTCATGTCATGCCGGTCTCGAGATTGGAGAACAGAGTACTTGGACCAATGCAGTTTTACAAGCTTACGAGATAGCTTTGGAGGTAGTTCTTTAGCCGTGGAAGAGCCAAGGACGTTGTCATAGAGACGAGCTTTACATATACCATCACCAGTCAGGCTTGACAAGTCGCATTCGTATCATCCGGCCGTGAAACCTTCTGCGTTGTAAATCATTAAGATAACCAGAAACTAGAAACATCAATGCCCTCAAACCATGAGGCACTGAGACTTAGCGACAGATTCCTCCCAGACTAATATTAATACTGCCACGCCTCATCCCTTGGTGAACCCAAGTCCGACCTCGACTTAGGGTGCTCGCTCGAGTCTTTTATCTCACTGGTGACCTGAACAACAGTTGTAAGCTTGATCTTGTCACTTTCGACGTCTAGAACTTCGTAGTCTCGCAAGCCTTGTGAGATGTTGGTCTTGTTGTTAGTGCTGCGAAGATATCCGCCCTGAGATCTGGCCTTTGAGGCATTTGGACTGCCCAGAAGGGCACGCAAGACAGGGATTGATGCGGCGATAATACACACCGCTCCTTCGGCGATTCCGAGGATGTTGAGTGGGGGAGTATTGACTGCACACAGCAGGTTAGTTGGGAGAGTTTTGACGTTCGTCCATGGACTCCTTGTGTCACTTACTCAGATCGTCGCTGGTAATGGCTCGCATGGTAATCACTTTTACAATAGATGTGAGGCCGGCGCTATTTATTATCTTAGAATGACCGGGCTGGATTGGGTTACGGCTCGGCGCCCTTGGCAGAACCGGGTGGCAGCGATGTTGACTTACAATACACCCAAACTCATGCAGATTAAAAGGCCAATCTGTTCCTTGTAGTTCATGGATTGGCGGGAAATCACCCACCAAGGGATGATGGCAAGAACGATATCGGCGAGACCAGACCAGACTATATAGACAAGCAGTTATTTAGCAGGCGCAATCCAAAAGTCAGTTACAGAAGAGCCAAGGAGCTCTAACACACCTGATATCCAACTGTTGTAGGCAACGATGACCTTTGCATCCCAACACGTCCCCTCCACTTGCGTGTCCCAGACCTTTCTGGGCGGGTTGCACTGTGTCCACATGAAGATGGCCGCAAGAGTCAAGCCAACATTAACAGTGACAATGATGAACCAAATGAGCCCCTTGATTTTCGCTGTTGCGGCGGTCGCAATTCGGAGAAGGGTGATAGCGAAAGCGGTCTTGCTCCAGGCTGCGGCCCAGATAGACCAGAAGCCCGTCATGTACATGATGAAGAGGGTTTTGGGCCAGTCTGGACTTGTCATGTCGATATCCCAGCTATGTTTGCCAAAGCCCATGGTGGTGGAGATGGAACCGAAAATGCAGGAGATGAGAATGGTGATCTAGTTTATAACATCGACATTATTAGGTCAGTTTGAACTGTTCAAGAATGGGTTCTCTCTTGCAAGTCGAACGCAACTGATGGAAAGGGGAAGAGCCTCGCATGTTGGAAATATTGAGAACATACCCAGGAGGCACCCATGACATAGTCATCCCACCACAGCCCCCGCTGCCTCGTAATCTTACAGTATACCCTCAGGAAGAAGAAGAACCCCGAAAGGCCGGCCAGGACCCAGATGACGGCATTGAAAGTGGTAATCAAGTCATCATGAGGGTGGTTATCCTCAGGCGACGAGGAAGTGGTTGTGGTAGTAACCGACACCTCCGCGGTTGCGGTAGACGAAGCCATAGAGACAGAGAAGGCTCTGTTGTGGAGTTGGAATGTTGGAGTCTTCGTGGTTCAGCGATAGCTTTGTGGACCCTCATTCACGGTACTAGGCCGGTATTTAAGCTCAAGCTTGCTCAAGGCCCAGGGGTCATTGAATACCGGCTTTGCCGGGGAAAGAAGGGGGGGAAAACGTCGAACGGCAAATGATACATGCTTCAATGTATTTTTTGGGCCCGCCATCTTGGGAGAAAATCCACGCGTCTATCCCCTTTTTGTACGGCCTCGTTTAAGCGAGCGATTTGGTGAAGGGAGGGACGGCTCGAGCTGAGGGAACTTGCTCGATTTGGGCTGGTCCGGACGAGGTCTGAAGCTTGCTGGAAGCCCAAGCGTTGATTTTCGTGCCCTCCCTCGCTTGCCTGCCAAACCACACAAACCCAACAACTCCCCTGCTAGGTCGTCGCACAGACATCCCGTTCTCGCCTTCGTGCATCTTCCCCGCAATCCTATACATCTCTTTTCCCTTCTTGTGATTGATGGGATCGCGGGCCTCTAACCCGATTGAGAGCGAGATTGGCGATTTTCAAGGTGTCATGAATTTGCACCACACACACCTGTCTTGCTATAACGGAAGGTTCCTTTTTGTACCGCTGAGTATTCCAAGAAAGGGGACCAATATAAATGAGAAGAAGGTTGGTAGAGTTATGTGCGAGTGCAGAAGTCTACCCTTGAGGCCGTACCTGCAGCAGATTTCCATAAATGTTTTACTTTTTTTGGCAGTTCTTCACGCCAAGTTGGGTGAAAGGTGGGATAGCGGGTTCCTGATTCCAGTCTACCAAGCCCAAAGGCAAGGCACCAAACGCCATGAGCCGTGATGATTTGGGCGGGAGTGCTACCGTGCCGTCTCTCGTCCCATCGCGGCCAGCAAAGATCTGGGGTAAATCGTAGGAGTACCAAGTACAAATTAAAGGTATTGATCGTTCTCCCTCTCTGGATAGAAACCCATGAACCAGGTTGGGCCACGTATTGAAGAGTTACACTACACTACGAAGTACCGAGTAGACTCATGCCGTAACTTCAACTGCTCGGCCGATGGGTGTTCTATCGCGCCGCCAGCCCCCCCGGCGAGGATCGATGATCGGTACCTGGATGTACGAATTCCTTCCAAGAGACCCAAACCATCATTTCTCCCTCTGGGCAACGTGCTCGGACGTTTTGGAAATGAAAAACCGGGGTTGATCGATTGGTGTACGTACCGAACTAAGCCACAAAAGAATTAGCGAGTTTAAGGAGCATTGGGCGAGAACACCCAAACTTCGCTTCGCGCAATTTGATGGGTGATACCTCAGTATTGACGAAGTACCGAGCTCAAGTCGGCGCACAGAAGACGGAACCGAACTTATACAGGGAACCTGGTCGATCACAGCTCGAGCCCCTGATTCCCGCGGCTGGCGGCGTTCTTGATATCGATGATTCTATCGTTGAAGTGCGAAGTCGATGGACATCATTTGCGTAACAGTGGTATCATATCGACATTTCCGTGTCGTTCAGGCGATCCCGAGTGAATGGCTCGAGCAGTGTCCGGGCGGGAGGTTCAGGGTCGTTTACGAAGCGCTCTTGCGCCACCCCGGGCACTAATACATTCCCAATCCTCATGCATCCGATTTGCTGGTGTACACTGTAAGGAAATGAAATCGCCAGTAAATTATTGATGGCACTAGTCCCAACCCCGACATGATCATCCGAGCCTAGCTATGCAAACTTGGAAGCAGTACGTGCGACAGGAGCCCCGCTGCGGCGAGAGGTGTTCTAACGTTTCGCCATTGCCAAGTTTACTCCTGTCTAGTGCAACTGTTTGAACCAAACATGATGTAAAATACACGCTACGTCAATTTGAACACCAAGCAAGGCGGGGAACTGAACTAAAAAGTGAATTCAGACGGAGTCTCCCAAGTAATAAAGCCCTGATTCTCTGTATCATATAATCTTCACCAGTATGTCGCACTTTCGCTTTGGCCCAGATTCGCGTCGTATTATCAGAGTCCTCTTGAGGGGAAACTAATAAAGCTCCCACTCCGGCACACTGGCGAGCATAAATAATCAAGATTCAGCGCGGAAAAAAAAAAAAAAACAAGTTAATGTACAGATGCCCCGGCTGTAATAGAACACCATGTCAAGATCCCTGCACCGGATCTACGGGGCCTACTTATGGTTAGGGTTGTAAGGTGCCTACGGAGTATTATGGAGCAAGGGAGGCAGTCGATCAGTCACTAATACTCCGTAGGCACCTTGCAACCCTAACCATAAGTAGGAGGGTATGAAGACAATTAGCCACTAAAGAATCTTGGACGGCAAACTAGATACAGAGGTAAAAACTGTGATGTATCAATTGATGCGTTTGCCTTCGAACCCAGTCATCAGACCGATGGTTCTCGGGCTGTCTCCTCGGAACGTGGCTATGCTGGACCAGCCCTCTTCCATCCCTCCTGCCAAATAATGTAGAGACAAGGTTTCCACGGCAGGGTATACTGCATAACGTTTCGCTAAGGTGATCTAGGATCAAAGTGCTTCGTATGATAAATAGAGTCTCAAAAAATACAGTGTCTTGCTAACTTTTGTCGGTCCCAGCCATCCTACTAAAATCCAATACCCTTTAACAACTCATGAAAGTCTCGTCACTCCCGGCCCCCAGATACCCAGGTGTTTCTCTGCCATGTGCCCGTTCACTTGGTTCGTTCAAAGCGCCTAAAGTCGGAAATACCTGATGGGGGGAAGGCAGTGGCCATTGGGACGGCGACTCTGTTCCCAGCACCGACAAGGCTGCATGAGATGTTTCGGTGGAAACGCCTGGCCCGGGGTCGCATGTGGCCAGCCAGCGAACTGGAACGTTAGCCAGCAGGTTTGCATCCTCAGGTTCAGCCATCACCGGCCAAGAGTGGGAAGGGATCAATTGCAGCCCGGAGATCAAACTTGGACCTTTCATTTTGCACTTCTGGAGAGCGTCATCGCCGGTGGCTTCGGTGGCATTCCAATTTTCGTCGTTTCCTCTAACAAACCCAGTGAAGAATCCACCGGGGGATTTCCGTTCGCTTGCCGAGTACAGAGCGTGAGTCCTAGAGGGTTTAGCCCTAAGGGCTCCGTGAAGGGCATCCACAACCAACAGATCCTCCAAAGCTTCAGCCTTGGAGAAGGGTGTCTCTCCTTCATTTGTTTCCGATAGCGGATCCACGTTGTTTGTGGCCAGAAGGAGAATCACCGCATTCAGCCGACGGCGAGAGACTGCATAATACAGAGGCGTGCGCCCAAATTCATCCTTCCTGTCAGGGTCAACAGGGTGGAGAGTAGGTTGACGTGACCTGCCTAAAAGCACTCGGATGACCTCCTCGTGTCCGTTCTCTGCTGCCCATGACAATGGCGTCCTGCCAGAGTTGTCTTGAGAATCTGGGTCCACTTCGGTGGTTTGGAGAAATACCTGCAAAACCTCGACGTGTCCTCTCTCCGCGGCAAGGGATAGTGGAGTTCGGCCAGACTTGCTATAGCAGTCGAAGGGACGAAAGTGGGCATCAAGCAACCACGTAGCTGCCGTACTGCGATTTTGAATGGCGGAGAGGTGCAAAAGACCCCATCCTTCATGCTCTTTACAGCTGCCTCTCCTGTGGGTACACCAAAGATTATGCAACCTTGACGAAGCCTCCATCGAAAAGTCGTCCCCCAATTCACATAGCGTTAAGACCAATGATAACGGCGTTGAAGAGGTCGAATCAGCCCGATGTAGGAGGCATTGTCGGTTCTCCGTTTCGCAAAACGATTCCAAGGCCTTGCCGCAGCGCTCGAGGAGGGCCCAGTGAAGTGGAATCCTGCCGATGGAGTCACTCAAGTCGAAGCTCGCACCAGCTTGAGCAAGTGAGCGAGCGGCGGAATCGAGACCCTTTGAACAAGCTATATGCAGAGCTGTGCGTCCAAGGGCGTCCTGAGTGTTTACACCACTCCGCTTGTAGAGCCCTTGAAGTCTTTGATCGTTGGACTGACTGAAGGCCCAGAGTGGAGAGTCCGAGCTGGGCATTTCATCCAGTATAACGTGGAGGAGTGGGCGGCCAAAGCCGTCGGCTGTGGAGGATATACCGTCAGCAACTCCGTCTAAGAGAGTCTGCCAGCCTATGCCGAAGGTTGAAAGAACTGGGAAGGCGTTTTGGCCCGATGAAAACTCGGAAGGAAGTTGACATTTTCCACTAGCAGCGGCGGCTCTTGTTAGACTTTGACAATCGTTGTAGTATTCGAATATATTCCGACGCAAGCTATCACCGGGCTTCTCCTCCTTGGACTTCTCATGCTGCCGGCGCAGTATGAATTTCCTCAGGGAGCAGGCAGCGCCAAAGTTCCCAATTTGCCTTGCCATCTCCACAAGAGACGGCAAAATGAGATCCAGGTATCCGTCGTCCTTGTTCCCTGCTACAGGCAGGAGCAGCACTACCGTAGCGAGCAGCGATAGCGTGGCAAATTTGATAAAAGAGGACCGGGAGGTGAGAATTAGGTGATGCGCCACATGGATGATACTTTCTCTTTCACTGTATTGGGCGCGATGCAGTTCGTCGAGGATCCTTTGGTACGGGGCGCTGTACCCGTCATGAGGTGACAGGGCCATTCCATTTGTATTGATGAGATTCACTTGTCGCTCAGACCTTTTTGTGTCAGTGACTTGCTGACCTTGGATACGCGTTAAGACGACTTACAATTCCATGAACTCTTGGAATTCCTCGTCTGTGGTGCTGTCACCTGAGCGATGGAGAGAGACGACATGTGGAAGGCGTCCACGAGCTCGCACATTTTCGGAGCAGGGAAAGCCTCTCTTCACACATCGATCACACTTCTCATCCGGCCAGACCCGGTTGACAGGAACACACTAGTAGGGGGTTAGCGGGAAATAATATAGGAGGTTCGTTGGAGACATGAGGGTTGCTCTCACTTTCTGCTTGTCCTTCCGGCATTGAATACACTTGACGTAGTTCAGCTGACGGCTCTCCTGCGACATCGCGAACCGTCACTGAGCAGACCATTTGAAACGAAATGACGAGAAGAAGAAAGAATAGTTGCGTGTGCGTGATTGCCGTGGGGAACCTGATTAGCATGCTCTTTTGAAATCATGGACCACAGAAGCTGCCTTGACCTCCGCACATATATATGACCGAGGATCGAGTCGCCATTTCGAATTTCTTGACGTCGTGAGAAGGATTCTTCACACACTTCACATCGCAATTCACCCCACGCTCACCCCACGCGTCGCACTTCAATCGCATTCATCTCGCACTTCCCTCGAAGCTTATTGGTTCTGGAACTCCCAGTCCAGCACATCCCGCCCACCCCCTGTCCAGTTTGGGAAATTGTGCCCCTTGACAACGCAGCTTAACAATAGAGCGCACGTTAACATTGTATTTTGCCTCAGGCGAACCCATGGGAATGGCGTCAGGAGTTATGCAATGTGGCCTCGCCTTGTTTTCCCTCCTCGAATCAATCGCACTGCATTATCGGGCCTGCATTACGAAGTATGCTCTGCGGAATGTCGGTGACGAGGACTGATCTAGAACTCAGCCCCTTGGTCCCTTGGCCTTCTCCACATGGACTCGCCGGTCCACCCCACGTCCAATAAACTATGTATTTGTTCATTGGACTACTAATCCACCCCACACGTGCGTCTTAGCCATCTACAGACTATCAATACACTTTGAAACTTTGAGTGCTACATACATCGTAGGCGTACATCCGGGAAGACGCTCTAGTAGGAAACAGAATTATTTCGAAAATTCGGCAGCTGTCACTCAATTGTTGTGCGTTAGTAGTCTACGGTGAGCCCTCATAAATGATCAACCACATCTGGCTTTAATGACTGATATCTCACAAACTCATGGAGATCAACTGATATAGGCTGATTCTAGCTCATCTGGATATTGGCTAGGGCCGGAACAGAGAGTTCAACATTCTCACCAACGATCTGAAGTCGCCACCGTCACTGCTAGCATATGACTCCGCATACGCCAACCAGCAGATAGAATACGGAGTACACAGGCGTCCTCATCGTCATCACTTATTATTAAAATATTACACTCTGACATGTGCAGTGTAGGTGACTGACTGTATCTATAAAAAATGCGTAACAAAAACACTTGAAAGGCCACGAAGTCGGTCTGCACTTGTCTGCCGGCTCACCAGCTGCACGTCATAAGGGCGCTACCTTGCGGTAGTAAGGTCTCCATCTGACCCCGGTTGCTCATTCGAGGTTGCAACAGAACTACTCCACTAACGGAAGAAGACTCGGCAAGACGGGTGAGCCAACTCACGAGGAAGAGAACAGTCTAAAACATGGCCATCCCACACGGAATACACAGTCCCGAATAGTAGACCATGCTTGTTAAAAGCTCTGTATGGGTCCGATGTAAATAACAACGCAGCAAGTTCAAGGCGGTCTTGGGTGAGACTTGGTAATGCGATCTCCCACCAGCAACTACTTGATATGAAACACCTTTATCCACCACAAATCGCCCCCAAGTCCGCCGAAAGCCTCACGAGTCACCGGAAGCTTCCTTTTCCAGGTCCTCTCGGCATTCGTTTGGAGCCCTCTTTTTCACCCAGAGCACCTCCTGCACACGCGATAAAAGAAGTCCATAAAGTTAGCTCTAATACGTCTTTGGGTGTTTGCGGGAGCGAGTAGAGACTTGTACCAGAAGCGAACCAGATATTGAGAAGCTCTGTATTCTGGGGCCTATGCTTTGAGATTCTGGAGAGAAAGGCTAAAAGTACGATTGGACCGGGCGCGTCTACTATTACGTGCAAAGGGGGTTTGGGGATGGAGAGAGAGTGGCCTCAGAGCTCTGAAAGTGAAACGGATCATGAGATTCACGCGCACAGTAGACCGTGTAGCCGGACCCTTCTACCGTAGCCGCTGCGGACCTTGTTAAGCGGATTTACGGTCGAGTACAATAAGGAGTTTCCACAATCTCGCGAGCCCTTTCTTGCATCTGGCGCTCGCTCCGGTCGGGTTGCGACTTCAACCGCAACGATGCGGCGGCTGGAAAGAAAACTGCAAATTCTGATTCGGAGTTCTACTCGCAGCTAAAGAAATCGCTCTAATGTGACGACGTCTTGGTCGCAAGAGTAGAGCGGCTAATGGTAATCTGCATCCGGGGCACAAGAGGCGCAAGCATAATAATTAATATTCAAGTTAATAAAGCAGTTAGAAACGCGGAGTTGCTGGAGGTAGCCTTTGTGAAGGCACTAAACATGCTATACCTTGTAGCTCGCAACTTGTACGGGGACAAATGTGAAAGTACAAGTTGAGTGCCGCTTTATATTTCTATTTCATCGGACGCCGGTTCTCCTGCATCCATGTGCCGAAGCAACAATCCTCTCAACGCCTCGGCGCGGGACCCAGTTACTGCATCGAGCGATGAAGTTAGCGACATCGGGATTAAACGTAAGCGGTAGCAAGGGTGGGGAGGGGATAAAAAAGAAAAGAAAAGAAGAAGAAGAAAAAGATGGTTCGTTGTTGGCATTCAGCGCCTCGATGAACTCGCTTGACAGTCAAGTTGATGATTGGATGATTGATTCGTTTGCAACACGCGGGTCCAACTATCCTAATGCAGGAACAATTCCATCTTCCATTTTAACCATAATTGGAAGGACGGGCGGTAACGACTGCACGTGGGTGAGCGCTGCTTCCTTTATAGGTGTGCTTTTCGCAACCCTCCTGCCGGTCGATCCGGGGGGACAAGGGTCCCGGTGCAACGTTGTGGTTAATATAGCGTCTGGGTCCATGGACGGAACCAAACAGGACTACGATTGACATCAACACGTGCTGCACCAGCTTACTCCCTTCGGTGAGCCAGTTAGGCATGAAAACACATCGCGGTATGCAAGTCATTCCTTGTGGTCGAATTCTAAGATTAATCATAGAACTTTTGTTCCCGGTCTTACATGGCTGGTCCTACGATCTCGAGAAGGCCAAAACGATCATTCAATTCGATGTCAGATATTTAGAGGCAACAATGTCCCGGCGCCACGACTATGTGTGTCATCCTGGGCAGCTCCCAGTGCGATCAGACGGAGATAGAATCCAACTTTGTCGAAATCAGCTTTGCCGAAAATGCAGTTGCGACACCTTATCGTCGGAGCAGCCTTGGCTGTTGGCCCTTCTCTGGCCGCCAAGTTGAAGTCCAGGTCCGTCTCTTGCCCCGCAGACGCTCCCCTTAGCTGCCAGAACACCACCGCCTACGACAATACCTGCTGCTTCAATTATCCCGGTGGTCAGATCCTCTTGACCCAATTCTGGGACACCAATCCTCCTACGGGACCCGAGGACTCTTGGACGATCCACGGACTTTGGTATGACATTTTTTTTTTTTTTTCTTCCACCGGTCGCAAGACTCTGATTGCGATGTAACACCATTGACACGAGAATAGGCCTGACAACTGCGATGGAACTTGGGAGCAGTACTGCGATCAGAACAGGCAGTACAGGAACCTTACTGCCCTCCTGAACGCCAGCGCACCATGCACTCTCAGCTACATGCAGACCTACTGGAAGGATTACCAGGGAGACGACGAGAGCTTCTGGGAGCACGAGTTCGACAAGCACGGTACTTGCATGAGCACGCTCGACCCGTCCTGCTATCCCAACTACCAGCCGGGCCAGGAGGCTGTCGACTACTTCAAGCGAACTGTGAAGCTGTTCCAGACCCTTCCCTCGTACGATTGGCTCGCCCAGGCTGGCATTGTGCCCTCTGACACGAAGACGTACACGCTTGCCGAGATCCAGGCGGCGCTCACGGCTCACCATGGACATAATGTCATCATCAACTGCAGTAGCGGCAAGCTTAACGAGCTTTGGTATCACTTCAACGTTCGAGGCTCCATTCAGTCCGGTGAATATGTCCCTGTGGACACTGTTGGCTCGCCATCGACCTGCCCCAAGACGGGAATCAAGTACCTCCCCAAGAAGATCTCCACTTCGCCCGGTACTTCTACGACTACGAGCAAGACGTCCACGGCTCCCGCACCCACCGGAACTGGCTCCTCCAGCGCACTCTCCGGCAAGGGCTACTTCTACGTCAGAACCGCGAGTTCGTCCAGCGACGGCTTCCTCATCAGCGGCGGCAAGTGGTACAGGAATGGCGGCACCCCGGCCACGTACACCGCCACGCCCAACGCCGACGGTTCTAGCTTTACCCTCACCACTAGCAAGGGTAAATGTGCCATCCAAAGCGATTCGTCGTTGACTTGTGCTTCAACCGTTTCCAGTGCCTCTTCTTTCGGTTACGATGGCACCTATCTGACCTACGAGGGTTCGTCAGCTTTCTACGCGACTGAAACTCCGAGCGGCACCGCTCAAGGCACGGTTTACACCACTCCCAAGGACGTTTCTTTCCAGGCTTACTGGTCTGCTCTATAGGGGTTGAGTATAATAAGCTGAGCCGTAGGAAAAGCAAATCGTGGGACCGAGGGTTGGGGTTAGCGCCGATTACCCTACTTTTTCTTCTAACTCATAAATCATTATCGTTAATTATATTGCCGTTTATGCAATTCATATTTTCTTCCAAATGGACCTCTTAATGGTGTCAGATCGTTCAACTTTGGCCTTTCGTGGACATAGATTTAGAACAGCTTTCAGAACCCGTCAACCCCAGGCGCCGAGAAAAGCCATAAAACCATGGCTCAACTTTGGAACAGGAGCGACATCTATAAATGCCAGTCGCGCGTGCCGGTTGGAAAAACCTAATACCAACCCACCACTACGCAACTGCCTTCAGACAATGCCACCGCCGAACGCGCAGCTTCACTCAGCTGGGTAGGGTAAGGAATGGGTCGATTTCTGCTGACAATGCGAGTGAGAAATGGGGATTGACCTGGTTTAAAGGTGGAGACCGGAAAGAGGTCGTAATCTCCGCTCTCCCCACATCCAACCCCTTTCGGCCAGTCTCCGATTCTCAGGGAAGCCTCCAGCCACATACAGACAGTCGACTAAGGTGGTCCAGGCCTGGAGATGCGGGAAGTTATGTTATGGAGCACAGGCGCTGTTTTCTCCATAATTAAAGGATGAGGATTTCTCCGCCACTTCGTATTTGACGTGGCGAGATGCTGAACTCCTTATCGCTTTTCGTCTTCCCTTTTACTACATATCAACCTGGAGATAATTCATAATAATTAACAACACGATGCTTGCGTATGCTTCGGCTGCTGCCCTTGCGGCGATAGTCACCATGCTTGTCCCCCAAGCAGCTGCGGAGCAGACAACCATGGTAATTGACGCGACATCTACAACTTCCAGCTTCCAGGGGTGCTTGACGACCTCTTCCGGTTTTCGTACGCTGACGTTTGTCGTAGCAAGTATGGATTCCTATGGTACCCCCGGGCAGCCCGGATTTTTACGATGAGGTGGAAGGTGTTGTCGAGACTGTTGTGAGCAATTACCCCCTGCAGACCTCTGGCTCTACGGTATTGTCTTGCTCACTAAAGAATAATGCATAGACAAACGGCCAAACGGTACTCGGTATACGATACAAGGCGAGCGCGGCGCCAGCGGACTATTACCCTACCCAGACCATCACCGTTGGGCAGAACAGTAAGAAAGATCCTTATAGACCTCTTTAACTGAAGTCAAATTAGCTAGTAATCCTAATGGTTGCCCATAGCTTTCAGATACTCAGTGAGCGAAGACATGGAGAACTATATCTCGTAAGCCCCCTATCTGCCACGCAATAGACGTTTATCAGCTAACAAGACCCTACGGGGCCTCCATTGTTGACTGCACCATGACCGGCTGCCCCACGGCTACGACGGCGACGTGCGTCCTTATCGAAAGCGAGTCAGGGAAAGGCCTTTCCACGGCCACTCAAACGGTCGATGCTACCGACATATCCTTTGGCCCTCTTTCTCTCGCCACGCCTCTGCCCGACAGCACCACTCCCGAGTGCGGCGCCGAAAACGCCGACAAGACCAAGACCCCGAGCAACACTGAGACTGGCACTGGCACGGGCGCGAGTGCGAGCGCGACCGGAACTGGTGGGGCCGGCTCCGATAGTGCGGGACTGAAGGTTGTTGGTTCGTGGAGGGCGATCGCTGCGGCTGCCGCGCTGGCCCTTGCCGCTACAATTTAAGCAATGGGCAGGAAGCATGGACCAGAAGAGGCTCGCCCGGAGATGCTGTACGATATGGAGTGCGCTCAGTAGAGGATGATGGGAAAAGCATCAGCGTTTCCTCAATGAATATTTCGATAGCGTCGCACACTCTCGTCCCAACAGCAAGGCGGACAACTAAGTCCGGCAGCTTGCCTGCATCAAAATTGGTGGAAACGAAGCCGAGAATCTCCGCCAGTTCAGCCATCCGGCTCAATACTTCCACAGGCGGCTTCGAAGCAGAGTGAGATCTTCGAGGCTTAGAAGTTCTAGGTGAATGTGATCCCAAGCGCGGAAAGGGGCTCCACTCAGAGTCCCAGGAGGAGCGGCTTCAACTACTCTGGCGAAAAATTATAGTACCCTGTCAAGTTATAGTTCGAGCGGGCCTTTGAGGATCTGTTAATTCGGTGTCGATTCTCCGCAAATAGAGCCCGGGGTCATAAGACGGTTCCAAGCCAAGGAATCGACGAGTGACATTCCGAGCATGTAGTTACCTATGCGCTGCGCCAACAGTTGCGACAACGGTTGCTCTCTGGGGTAGTCTTTGCAGCTTGACGTGGTATGGATTGCACGGGTAACACATCTAAGGCTGAACTACCTCAGCCGAGCGCCGGTATCAACATGCCAATATTGATCAATAACCTCATAAGCTATCAAATACGTAAACCTTGTAGCACTAATGCATGGTTGAACCGAAGATACACTTTAATACATAAAGAAGCAGCCACATAGCGATCTCCAAATTCAAGTCGTTCAATCACACAACAACAGTCACATAACCGCGCAACAGCCCCCACAGTCGTCGTCCTCATGTCCTCTTCCATCCACCTGGGTTTGTGTGGGAGGTATGTAGTTACTACTCCCGTCACGGTATATATGCAGCGTGAATGGCAGGCGTTCGCCGTTTGCGTCAAATGGTTGTACGGTAACATGGGGAGGGTCTGGCCGAGTTTGCCCTGGGCGTGAGCTAGAGTCATGAAACCCCTTTCTGTTAGAGTTTCGTACCGCTCGTGTTAGTAAAACAGCCCTTTCGACTTCAGTATGAGTATTTGGAGGTACGGGTGCCGAACGTGATTTGACAGGTTGAAACCTGCGATCCAGGCATTCGAACAATATTGTCCATCCCTAACTGAGCGATGGCAATGTCCCTACCCTGTTTGGCTTTCTTCTTCGTCTCATATTGAGGGCTAAATCCGACAAGCGAGTAGGACAGAGACATAGTGTAAGGAGTGGAGAGATTCAAAGATCCGAACGTAAAGGAGTAGTGGAATAGATTATTCAGAACTATTGCTTCGAGCAATGTCAAGACTTAGAAACTGCAGAGCTGGGGTTGAATAAGTTGGCTGCTGTTTTAGAAAATCGACGCAGGAAGGGATAGTTTATATGATCGATTGCACTCTCAACGGAGATGGCCCGGCGTGGCGTTTGTTCCTTAAACAATAACCCCCTCCCCAGGAGCCGCCCAGAACCGAGCTCCTGACCTATCTTTGGACAACATATTTCGTACCCTCCGAGCACCTAAGATCTACTTGGTAAGTTCTGATATGTGATTTGATGTTCGGAACATCGTTAGCGCTGAAGGGTCCTATATATAGCTCGGAAAAGCGACGTTGCGGTGGGTAGGACAACATGGTTATCATCTTATCCTTCGCCGTATGTTTCAAACTAGGAATACTTTTCGGTATTACTACTGGACTTGGTCTATCGGTGAGAAATGAAATATGTTGGTACCATCGCATGCTGCTGCGAAACGCGAGTGTCTCCTTTAGTCTGGTGTGCTTGGATTCAACGCGGTTGAGGATCAGCTCTGAAACGGATTTCGTAGATGGTCCAGAGATCTCCCGCCTGGCAGGTCACTGCAAGCGCCGGTGGAACGTCGAAGGCTACTTGTCCAAAAATAGAGGATGCAGGCAGTCGTCAGGTCGTAATACGCTGTGAGATGAGAGTACCAACACCGAACATGTCGTCACATTCCCGGTGTACGATGGCACGTGATAGAAATATACGGGCCATTCGTCTGAACTTCTGCCATTGGCTAGGCAAAGGTCCGGGAATCACAATTGCGTGTCTCATTATGTGTGATATTTGATCTGGACGCCCGGCGGCGGCAGGAACGGGTGCATGCTACCCGACTGCTCAAACCACCTTCTCCCCCGATCCCCCAATCTAGGTGCTTAAAGCAGGACGGATTCGCCTTTGACGCATTTTTTCCAGTCATTGATATCCTAATATACACCGAGTTTATCCCATTTGTCTTCATGTCCATTTCCAACAACGACCGTCTTTGAAGTTCCACCCACTTTATGCTACGCCATGGCAACTATCAGACAGTTTGCAACACACTTTGAACGCACACCTGGAAATGCTGAATCCCCAGCTTATTATCATATCGGTGGTTTTCTGCCGGTCCACCTTGGAGATAAGATCCACGGCCAATATACGGTTCTGCGAAAGTTAGGCAGGGGAACTTGTTCCACTGTTTGGCTGGCCCGAGATGAGAGGTAATGTCCATTGGCTGGAGAACCTACCGCGACCTTTTCATGACGCTAATGAATCGCTAGAGCGAAGCGGTACGTCGCACTGAAGATTTGCGCAGCCATCGGCGCACGCGGCCAGCAGGAGGTGGCATTCCTTCGTCAACTCGCCGTGCCTGGAGATATCATAAACGAGTCTACAGCATGTCAACGGGAAAGGCTACGTGTCGAACAACTCCTTGATGCCTTCGAGTGCCGGAGCACAAATGGAACCCATCAAGTCCTTGTCCTCGAACCAATGGGCAGAACACTTGAGCACTACCTTACCTTCGTGGAGGCGCCAGATCAGTTGGTTTTCCTCCGTGAGGCTGTGAAGCAGATGATTCAAGGTTTAGCTTTCATCCACGAGAAGGGTATTGTACATCGAGGTGAGTTGCATCGATATCCTTGGTCACTCCTACTATAAACTTGGATAAAACGATATCAACCTAATCTACAGATCTCCAGCCAGGCAATGTTTTTTTTGCACTTCCTGAGAGGTTTCTAGATTCCCAACCCCCCCAGAACTTGGTCCAGAATGTCAAGAAGGACGTCTGCGATATATATTATTTAAAAAGGATCGATGGCAAACGTCTCGATAGCACATCTCCGAAGTATACAGTTGAACCACGGCCACTGGATGCTCCTATCCCACCATCGTCACCACGCCGTGATTTTCGACTCATTATTGGAGATTTTGGAGCAGGTAAATGCCCTCGTTACCCCCCGTTGATCTCCCCTCCACCAGACACCCCTTCGACGATGTTAACGGCCCCCCACAGCCTCAACGATTGAAAATGTCAACGATGGCTTTCACGCCTTTCCCGTTGCGCTGCGGCCGCCAGAGCTCCTTCTTGGCCTATCCCTATCGGGGACGGCGGTTGATATTTGGGGTCTGGGATGCGTGGTAGGTCTATTTGCACATCCACATTATTAGGCTCCAGTGCTCTAAGAAAAGCAAACTCAGATCTATCAACTCGTGACTCGTCGTAATTTACTTTCCATCGATGGCTTTGCAACACGCGAAGAACAAGATGATGAGCATCTTCAGGGAATCACAGAGATTCTCGGCCCCTTGCCTCCAGACCTGCTCGCCCTGTGGCCCAACCGAGCGGGCTTCGTCACAGACTCTGGCGAGCTTCTTCCAGATGTCGTTGAAGAAGGTATAAGCGAGCCTTTGGATGAGCTAATTGACTTGTACTGCCCTGAGTCAATGCGTGGGGAAGAATTGGACAAAAGACGGGAGCGGGAGGAGTTTCTGAGTCTGCTTCGCGGAATGTTGAAGGTTCGGCCAGAAGAACGGAAGAGCGCAGCGGAGTTGTTGAAAAGTGAATGGTTGAACAGAGCTTGAGGAGTTTTTGACCTTCCTAATTTCTCCAGCGAGGTTCTGGGGAACCATCTCACACCTCGTGAAGGCTCCACGTTAGCGTCTTCGGCAAAAACGTGCGAGCCAATATGCGTTAAAGAAGTCTAGGCATGTAGCCAGCTCCCTTAGTCGAACAATACGAGGGCTTGTCTATTTTCGAATAAGACCCTGCGTTCTTCGAGAACTTCAAATACGGCGCTCGCATCTCGCTGGAGATGATGCGTGTCCCTCTCGGAGCTTCTAACGATGTCGTTCACTCGTTTCAAAAAGTCCCAGCAGACTTTTGACCGAAACAGCTTAACCTCTGGATCGGGGCAATAGAAGGGGTAATCTCCCTCCGCCAAGGCGGTCTTTATCCCAAGCAAGACACCGAGAAAAAGCACAGTGACGACGTCCGCGTTAAAAAGAGCAGAAAAACCATCGGTGGTGGCGTTTGGCACCGGGAAAGAGCCACTCTGTCGTGTAAAGCCCCGTGCCCGTGCTTTCTGCGAACCCATCAACGGAAAGTTCTGCCAAATTTTGCTTCGTTGGCATAGGCCCAAGAGGGAGTCACAGATTAGGCCCTTTTGTCCTGAGCCTGGTTGCGCCCATTGCGACCCGACCGACCGCGGCTTTTCCGAGTCTAAGTGCATCCCACGTACAATAAGTAAGCGAGCTCAGAAGGATCGGGTGGATCTTACTTGCCCTGATCCTCATAGAAAGGATTTAGCTTCAGTAGATTATACCTAACACATGGAATTCTAGATTTCAAGCAAGCCTCGCATACCGCGAGATAGTCTGGAGCATTGCACTGTTCATTGTTAGCCTTAGAGCAACGAGTGAAGCAGCCGTTGGACGGAAAGCATCTCCTCATGCGCTAACTTACCCGCACCCCCATCATTCTACACTGAAGACATGCCCCCAACGGCCTGACAGGGCACCCATCCCTATTTCGCTTCAATCCGATTTTGACAATGTTTGTTTCCGAGTCCATTTCTCTGCTTTATGATTGTGAGATGAAATCAAAGTGCGATCCAGCGAAAGCATCTCAGACCGACCCAGCAGTTCCTTGGAGAACAATTGCGCCGAAGTTGTGCGAGAAGGTCTGGCTCGGCTTGACGCGG